GCTCTCACGAATTTGTCGGCCAACAACTTGGGCAACCAGGCGGCCATAGCAGAGGTTGGTGCTGGCTTCATCTCTGCAGTCTCCGCTATCCTCTGTGTGTGCTTTATCCCGTTGCCTCACCATTCGTCTCCCCCTCGTCCTTTTGATGTGTGCTATGTTCCTCGTGACTCTCTTCCTCATCCCAAAACTCCTCCATGACCTACTCTTCTGCCTCCTCCCTCCTCCACCCCCATTGTACCCCTCAACTTGAGAAACACCCTAGATCTCCGTAGAATCCTCCTCTTGTCAGTTCCTCCTCCACCCCCTCCACAGTTCAAGGCCTAATACCGGTTCTGTTGCTCGATGTATCGGTTGTTTGGGCGCCCAGGGGACTGACATGTCATTCGTTTCTACCGCGCACCAGTTCTGTGAGGCCATCCAAACCGACAGCGGCATCATCCACGCGTTGGCGTATTTGCGCGGGCATTCCCACGTATAACGTTATCCCGACAGGCAGCTGCTTGCGATTCCCATAGACGACCAAACGAGCCCAGTGGGTGAATGGCAGACGGTAGTATAGGAGCCATGCCGCGGGAGAGGCATTGTCTGCCACATCCCTGACGGGCACCAGACTCGAGAGTGGCGGGGCTTTCCATTGGAACCAAAACCGTCGGACGACCGCGCGCAACTCAGGCCACCCGCTTCAAGGAAACGCTGAGCACGTTGCCGTTCCATGGTTACCAGTGGGTCTGTCAAGGTTCGGTTTGCCATGCTGGGTTGACAGCTGCAAACACTCGCTCTCATACCCATCTTCATATCCTCCTTCATGTTCTCCCTCCTCCTTGCAGTCCTACGAGTGAGCGCAGCTGCACGAATGCGGGGGTGTACGTACGTGGGACTTGTGTTGCCTCTCAAAGGGCTTCCCCGGGGGGATAGGAGCGAGGTGTTCGACGGGGGCGTGACGCCGCGAGGTGGCGTCTGCTGATACGTGACTCCCCGCCTGTGGACCGCCCGGTCGGTTTGATAGTGGGTTCTCTCGTGCCTGTGTTTGGACGGTGGTGTTAGTTTCTCTCGCTGCCCTCTTTAGGTATTCTTCTCCCCCTCCAGCGGTGAGGACCATCATCGGCCTTACCAGTGAGGACGGCCATGAGGGCCCACACCCCCCGCAGCTGCCATTACCTGGGCTGCGGGAGCAAAACCCCACGAACCTGTCACCTTAAGTGCAGAGCCCGGGTTGGCGGCCCGTCTTCCAATCCCACCACCATAGAGGGATGCGAAATCATTGAAGACGAGACGGGGTGAGCACGAGTTGGCATCATAGCCGATTCTGAATCACAGCAGGCATCATAGTTTCATCGTTCATCTTTTCATTGGCTTTGTTCCATGCGTAGCATGCTTTCCCCTACAGGACCCTGAGCGGGATTCAGTCCCCTTCCGGTCGACCAGTGCCGCCTTTTTAGGCAACCGAAGGAGCCATCATAGGCCGTTCGCACCCAAGACGGGGCTACCAGAGAATGCTCTTTTTGGTGATAAGGACCCTCACGTACCGTCGCGTTCAATGCCCTACCAATGAGGACCGCCGTGGGGCCTCACACCTCCCGCAGCTTCCATCATAGGGGCGAACCCGGAAGAACCTGACACCGACGACTCCAACCACGATGACGACGACGACGACCACGACTGTGACTACCAGTGCGACTCGACGCGCCAGCACGACTGCGGGGGGTGCGTCCGAGGGATTCGCGCTTCCACCAGAAGGGCTTCGTGGGGGAATGGGGGCGAGGTGTTCGACGGGGGGGGGGCGCCGCGAGGTGGCGGTGGGTGCGGCGTGATTCCCCGCTTGTGGACCGCCCGCGTGTGTTGATAGTGGGTTCTCGCGTGCCTGGGCTTGGACGGGGGTTGTAGTTTCTCTCGGTGTCCTTCTCAGGGGTATTGTCCCCCCAAACCACCACTCGTGAGGACCATCGCAGTCTTTCCCAGTGACCGTGAGGACCATCGTGAGGACCATCGTGAGGACTCGTAAGGACCGCCGTGAGGACCATCGTGAGGACTCGTAAGGACCGCCGTGAGGCTTCACATCCTCCGCACCTCCCATTCTAGGGGCCGCGGGGGCAAATCCCACCGATCCTTGCGTCGACGACGAACGTCGAAGACGACGACTTCGGCGACGACGACAACCACGAAGGAGTCTACCGGCAATCACACCTTCCGCAGTTGCCATCATCGGGGCCGTGGGGACAACCCCCCGCGCACCTGGCATCGTACGTGCAGTGCCGGGGGTGGCGGCCCGTTTTCCCATCCCACCATCATTAGGGGATGCTTCGTCGTGGAAGACGGGACGGGGTGGGCATTAGCGGGCATCGCAGCCGGTTCAGAATCAAAACGGGTATGGTAGCATAGATTCTTGGGACATTCATCCAAACATACAATTCCAACCCGCCATTCCTCCAGACCCCCCCCGCGGGCACCTGGACGAAAGATATTTTCAGAAGATTGGGCGTCGCGTGGTGGGCGGCTATAAGTGGGGGGGGGCAGCGAGAGTTTCCGAAAAGGGGCCTTTGAGGGCCAGGACCCCTGAAGGAGCCCTTTAGGCCCAGAAGAGGGCTTGTCCGAGAAGTGCAGCCTCCTTCCCCCCACCCAACTCTCGCCCCCCATTACATGATTTGGGGCCCTGGAATGGGTTCTTTAAGGCCCGAGAAGTGCACCCTTCTTCCACTCCTAGGACGAGGATGCATCCGTTACAGAACGTTCCAGAAAGCTCACAGAGCGTCCGCGGCGCCCGATACATGACCCAGCCCCGCCCGATTTCAGAGATCCCCAATTTTACCCCCACCCGATTTTCCTGGCATCTCCTTGACTCCTTGATGAAGAGTTGGGCTCCTGACGGTAGCGTGGCATCTCGGGTGGACTCTGCACCGCCTATAGAGGCCCCCCGCGCCCTGGGGGCCCTGCCCCTTGGGGCATCTGCTGCTCCACGCCGGCGCGGCGCCCCCCCCGCGCCCCCGAGGCCGGCGGGGTCCCCGCGCTCATCCGGCTGCTGGACGGGGGGGCCGCAGAGGCGAGGAGGAAGCCCGCCCCCTCGGGGCGATCGCCGCCGGAGGGGCCTTCTCCGACTGCTGGGCTCGACGGCCCCCGGGGGCGGCGGGAGCGAGGAGGGCGCCCGCCCTCTCGGGGCGATCGCCGCCGGAGGGGCCCCTCCGATGGCTGAGCGCGGCGGCGGCCTTCGACGGCCCCCGAGGGCGCCTCCTCCTCCTCCTCCTCCTCTTCTTCCTCCTCCTCGTGGAGGCGAGGAGGACGCCCACCCTCCTCGGGACGAACGAGATGGGTGCGGAAATCGGCTGCACGTGAGAGTGACCCTTGGCCGGAGCGATCTTGGGTCAGGCTCACCGGGGCCCCTACGATGGCTGAGCGCGGTGCGGTAGCGGCTGCTTGTGCGCGCCCTTTTGCGCCCCCGTGTTCCGAGCACCAAGGGTCATTCTTGCCCAGGGGCACTCTTGCGAGTAGCCAGGGAAATAACGGGCACAAAGACCGACAGCAGTTCCGTTTTGAACAGAAATCCTTTCCGTCGGTGTGGGCATCGGGCGTTCGGCGGCGGCCCTCGGCGGCCTTCGACGGCCTTCGGCGGCGGCCCTCGGCGGCGGCCCTCGGCGGCGGCCCTCGGCGGCAGCCCTCGGCGGCGGCCCTCGGCGGCCAGCGCGTCGGGCCTGACAGCGGGGGGGCCGTGCACACCAGGCGCGACCCCTGAGCCGTTGTCATGGGCAGTCTGGTTCACGCGCGGTTCGTGGGCGGTGGTGGGGCACGGGAGTGCAACCGTGCCGCGACGTCTTGGGAAGGATGCCCAGGCATGAGGCGTAATGTGTTTGGTGGGTCCTTGCTGGTTTCTTGGTGCTCTTGCTGGTTGTCGAATGCCCTCGGGCGGAACCCGGACGTCGTTCTCGATGGGGGATGTCAGGGCTGGACAGTCCAGTCGAATGGAGTTGCCCTGTCGCGCAAGAAGCAGGAGTGTTTAATGGGTTGATACGAGGTTTGGTTTCTCCGCCTCTTATTTCCATGTGCAGTATGCTTAGCCGTCGGGACGGTACTCTCAGGACACGATGCTCCTCACTTGCACCCTCCCGCGGCGACCTGGGAGGGTGATGTTTTTTGTTCGCGTTATGCTTCTCACCTAGAGCTCGCACTGTTGGGGGAGCATGCTCGTCAGACGCGTGGTGTTTCCCACTTACGGCCTGTGCTGTCGACGAGGGACGCTCGTCCGAAGCGTTCCGTTCCCAGCCTTTGCCTTGCGACCTTGCATGTTGCAGCTTAGTGATCCTTGGAAGCTACAGGGCAAGTGTTTTACCGTGTCCGTTGCGCCTTGTTGTTGCTGGTTCCATCGCAGTTTTTTGTACTGGTTCCGTCGCTATGTTTGTCGTCGGTTCCAGCTCCAGCCCCAATCTTGGAGCCGCTTGTTTTGTCATTCCCAGTCGACCTGTTTTACAGTTTCATGTTCAAGAGACATCTTTTCGGCAACTGTGAAAAATGGCCTTGCCGTTTCTGGGGCCCACTAATTGCTGGAGTCGGCGTCCCTCAAATAATCAGGGACGACATGCAGGTCCGCGCTGTCTCCAGCTCCCTCCGCCCCCCCCCCCTTCGACCACCTTCGTGCCCAACGCGCGCGCCCGTCGCTTTTCCTGCGATCTGTCCTCCGAGAGTGAGCGTACGAGCCCATGATGAAGTGAATTTCTTGTGGGGCCTTCATGGCTGAAAGTCGGGTCATGGGCGGGGCACTCGTTCTGCATTTGTTATTGACAGCGGTACGGCCCCATTCGTGTGTGACGAATGGCTGTCATTCGTGCTGCATTGTTAAGGTTATGTCTACTTGCTGATCCACCACTCACCTCCACCTCGCTCAGCATGTTCGGGCGATTCAGCCCCAGACCGCGGATCGCAGTCGCCGTGCGCAGTCGCATTCGCAATCCTCCGCTGGTAGCAATGCAGCCCCCCTGGCTAATCGCTGTGCGCAGTCGCGCTCGCAGCCGCCCCCACAGTGCAGGGAATGCGCGCAGTGCGTGCCCCACTTGCAGTCGCAGCCCTCCTGGTTGGATGAGGATCGGCGGTGCACCCGGGGTGGACGGCAGAATGGGCCAGCCTTGTCAGAAGACGGTGGAGGCCTACAGTCTTCCTTTGAGAAGCCCTCGGTGGCCCCGGAGGTGGCCCAGACGGCTTTCTCAGAAGGCGGTAGGACCTCGCTGCGGCTTCGGAGGGAGGTTTCTGAGAAGACGGCGTGGCTTCTGAGGAGCCCCACCGCCTTCTGCAGAAGGCCGGCCCCCTCCGCCTTCCCCCCAGGGCGCGCCACCAGAAGGAGAAGCCACACGCTCCGTCATCGGAGGGCAATAAGCTGGAGAAGATCGAGGATTGCAGGAAGGGGGCCCGAAGGAACTCGAAGTGGGGCCCCTGGAGGCCCGAAAGTGCGCGAAAGGCACGCCATTTTTCACCCCACCAGTCTGCCCCCCCTATTACGCAACGCCCGAAGGAGGAGGAGGATCAGGAGGAGGATCAGGAGGATGAGGAAGTTGCCCCCCCCCTCCCAGCAGGATGAGGACAGGGAGGATCGGGAGGAGGAGAAGGAGGAGGACGAGCAGGAGAGGAGAGGAGAGGAGAGGGATGAGAAGGAGGAGGATGAAGGATGAGGAGGAGGAGGAGGAAGTGGAAGGAGAGGAAGTGGATCGGAGGAGGAGGAGGAAGAGAAAGTGGAAGGAGAGGAGAAGGATGAGAAAGAGGAGGAGGACGAGGAGGAGGAGAGGATGGTGGTTGGGGTAGTCACTGCATAACGGAAACACGCACCACGACCACGACGACACCGACAACGACGACGAAGAAGACGAGGCGCGCGGGCGATCCGCTCCGAAGCACGGATTGGGGAAACGACCCACCCTGCAATTTCCGTTAAACAGCATATCGTTGAGCGGTGCTCCAGCTTCCCGTGGGAACAGGCTCCCCCAGAGCATCAGTCAGACAAGTCGGGTTTGCACCCTTAGTGCCTTGCTGGACTCTGGGCGTGTTTCCTGCCACTGCCGCCGCCCCCCCCCTGGTCGGGGCCACCGATTCGGGTGACGGCGACAGCGACAGTGGCGGCTGCCGACGCGCCTAAGAGCTAAGAAGCTCCTGAGCCCCGCGGCTCAGAGGGCTGGGAAGGTAGACGGACGGACGGACGGACGGACGGACGGACAGCCAGGCTGCGCGCAATGCCTGGGAGGCCAAGTTGGCGGTCGTGCAGAATGGAAACAAGACATGGGCAGAGCAACACGGACTTCGACCACGACGACGCCGACAACGACAGCGGACGAGGCGCGCGGGCGATCCGCACCGAAGCACGGATTTTTGGAAACGACCCACCTTGCAGGGGATTTTGTAAAAAGCGCACATCGTTGAGCGGTGCTCCAATCTCCCCTGGCCACAGGACCCCAGAGCATCGCCGCCGCCACCCCCATGTCAGGGCCACCGGTTCGGGTGACGGCGACAGCGACAGTGGCGATTGCCGACGCGCCTAAGAGCTAAGAAGCTCCTGAGCCCCGCGGCGCAGCGAGCCGTCCAGACAGATGGACGGACGGACAGCCAAGCGGCGTGGTCACTGCATAAAGGACAGCAAGGCCCCAGCAGAGCAACACGTACCACGACCACGACGACGCCGCCAACGACGACGAAGACGACGAGGCGCGCAACCGATCCGCACCGAAGCACGGATGGGGAAGATGAGGCTGTGGCGCCACGCGGCTGGGGGGTGGCCGGCCGGCCCTTCCCACCGGGCTCAAGGGGACGGCGGCCCATGCAGAGGAGGAGGAGGAGGAGGAGGAGGAGGAGGAGGACCCCTCTCCCTCCCACAAAGACAGGAGCGCCGCGGCCGCCCTCGCGAACCTCGTGGCCGGCGACAGCGGCTGCCGCACGCAGGTTGGCGAGGCGCGGTCCATCGCGTGCCGCCGGCCGCCTGACGGCTACGTTGACGACGGCGGCCGACGACGGGTGACGATTGCGGCGACGACTGCGACGACGACTGCGACGACGACGACGACGACGACGACGACGACGACAAATAACGACGACGACGGCCGACGACGACGACGTCGACGACGACGACGGCGACAGACATGGGCGGCGAGGACGACCGCGACCGACGACCGACGATCGACGAAGGTGCCTTCGACGCTTGCGACGACGACGGCGGCGACGCCGACGCCGACGACGGCAGCAATCGCCGCTGGCGCCAGGAGGGCGGCGTTGGTCCGCTGGTGGCGCTGCTGCTGCAGGAGGACCGGCCCGCGGGGGCGCACGCGGAGGCCGCCCTGCGCCGGCCGCTGTCGTCGCCGCTGCTGGCGATCCTCGTCATCGGCGGCCTATTCGACGTCGTCGTTGTCGTGGTTGTCGTTGTCGAGGGGTCGGGGGAGGGGGGGCAGGGGAAGGGGGGGGGAGAAGGATGAGGGGGAGCTGGGAGGAGGGAGGGGGGGGACGGAGGAACACGAGGAGAAGGACGAACACGAGGAGGAGGACGAAGTGGAGCAGGAAAACAGAGGAAGAGAGAAGAAAGGAAGGTGGGGGGTTCGAGGAAGACGGAGGAGGAGGAGGAGGAGGAGGAGGAGGAGGAGGAGGAGGAGGAGGAGGAGGAGGAAGAAGAGAGCGTGGAAGAGAAGGAGGGATGAGGAGGAGGAGGAGAAGAAGGAGGAGGAGGAGGAGAAGGGGGGCCAAATATGTCAAAACTCTGGACCCTGGGGAGTGTTTCAAATGCTTCCGTAGCTTTGAAGTGTAAGTAGGTTCTCGGGCCCTGGCTTGCTTCCATCAGCTGCGCCTTGTCGATTGTCCCCAACGGCCAAGTCAGATGAGTTTGTATGGCGGAGGAAAAGGGAGAGAGAAGTGGGAACGAGGTAGGGAGAGGGGCGAGGGCAGGGGGATGGGTCAAGTTGCCCGCAAGCCGTAAGCCGCTTCGTTCACTCCAACCCACCCTCCCAGCATACGAGCAGCGCTCGAGTCTCCGCCTGGCCAGGGGCCGCCATCGGCAAGCGTCGGGAACCAGTGCAGGCGGCAGCCAGGTCCGCGACGCCCGCGAGGTGCACCGCGCGTGCCAAGACCGCCGATCGTCCCTGTCAAATACACGCTGGCCGTTGGACGTAGGCAGTTTTGGATTCCCATCTCCCAGTCTACTTTGAGCTCCTTCCTGGAACTACTTCAATAGTCGATATGCTTTCGGTGTGTTTTGAAATTCTCTGGGGGGGCCTGGATCAAATCTACTTTATCCTCCTTCCGACTCCATGGTTTTCTCAATCATTTTGTGGTATTGAGTCCTCGTTCTGAAGAGACGGTCCCTGCGTTCCTTCCTTCCTTCCTTCCTTCCTTCCTTCCTCCTCCCATCACTCCCCTCACTTTGGCTCACACGTTTCGTGGCCCCATCGGGAACTCCACCGAAGGTCCCAGTGCTACCCCCCGCATGCGTCACCCCCAGCCAGTGCAGCGTTTCGTGGCATAGGGAGCTCTACCGAACTCCCCAGTGGCACCGCCCGCATGCGTCACCCTCACCCCGTAAAGCGTTTCGTGGCCCCAAAGGGAGCTCCACCGAAGGCCCAGTGGCACCGCCCGCATGCGTCACCCCCAACCAGTACAGCGCGTCGTGGCCCCATAGGGAGCTCCACTGAAGGTCCCATCAGCACCGCCCGCATGCGTCACCCCCACCCAGTACAGCGTTTCGTGGCCCTAGGGGGAGCTCTACCGGAGGCCCCAGTGGCACCGCCCGCATGCGTCACCCTCACCCCGTACAGCGTTTCGTGGCCCCACAAGGAGCTCCATCGAACGCCCCAGTGGCACCGCCCGCATGCGTCACCCCAATCCAGTACTGCGTCTCGTGGCCCCATAGGGAGCTCCACCAAAGGCCGCAGTGGCACCGCCCGCATGCGTCACCCCCATCCAGTACAGCGTTCCGTGGCCCCACAGAGAGCTCCACCGGAGGCCCCACTGGCACCGCCCACATGCATCACCCTCCACCCAGTGCAGAGCTTCGTGGCCCCATAGGGAGCTCCGAAATGGCCGCAGTGGCACCGCCCGCACGCGTCATCCTCCAACGCCCAGTACAGCGGTTCGTGGCCCCATGGGGAGCTCCACCGGAGGCCCCAGTGGTACCGCCCGCATGCGTCACCCCCACCCAGTGCAGAGCTTCGTGGCCCCATAGGGAGCTCCGAAATGGCCGCAGTGGCACCGCCCGCACGCGTCACACTCCACCACCCAGTACAGCGTTTCGTGGCCTCATTGGGAGCTTCACCAGAGGCCGCAGTGGCACCGCCCGCATGCGCCACCCCCCACCCAGTACAGCGTTCCGTGACCCCACAGGGAGCTCCACCAGAGGACTCAGTGGCACCGTCCGCATGCGCCACCACCCACCCAGTGTAGCGTTTCGTGGCCCCCTAGGGAGCTCTACCGAAGGCCCAGTGGCACCGCCCGCATGCATTCCCCCCGCCCAGTACAGCGTTTCGTGGCCCCCTAGGGAGCTCCACTGAAGGCCCCATCAGCACCGCCCGCATGCGTCACCCCCATTTGTACAGCGTTTCGTGGCCACATAGGGAGCTCCACCGAAGGCCCCAGTGGCACCGCCCGCATGCGTCACCGTAGGGAGCTCCACCGGAGGCCCATGTGGCACAGCCTGCATGCGTCACCCCCACCCAGTACAGCGTCTCGTGGCCCCATAGGGAGCTCCACCAAAGGCCGCAGTGGCACCGCCCGCATGCGTCACCCCCACCCAGTACAGCGCGTCGTGGCCCCATAGGGAGCTCCACCAGAGGCCCCAGTGGCATCGCCCGCATGCGTCACCCCCACCCAGTGCAGCGTTTAATGACCCCATAGGGAGCTCCACCGAAGGCCGCAGTGGCACCGCCCGCACGCGTCACCCTCCACCACCCAGTACAGCGTTTCGTGGCCCCATTGGGAGCTCTTCCGAAGGCCGCAGTGGCACCGCCCGCATGCGCCACCCCCCACCCAGAACAGCGCTTTGTGGCCCCATTGGGAGCAGTGGCGCCTCCCGCATGCGTCACCCCCCACACCTTTCGCATGCTTCATGGCCCCAGGAGGAGATTCCCCGAAGGCGATCCCCGCAACGACGGCACTTGCAACTTCATATGGTTGGTTTTCTCGCCTTGATAATTACCTACTTCTTCCGACGACCAGTACTGCAAATTGATCGTGAGGCGCCCGCACATGGTCGAACATGTTGCAGCAGCGTGCACTTGGCATTGTTTTTGTTGCTGGATTTTCGTTGAAAGGGACGGTCGGACTGCACACGTGGCGCACCCGAGCATGATCCAGATGTTGCAGCACATCTTATGGTGCACTTGTTTGACAGTGCTGGTGGGGGGAGCATTGACCTTGGCTTCTGGCCGATCGAAGGGGGGAGGTGTGTATACGATCTACGAAAAAGGAGCAGTGAAACAGTCTCCCCGAATAGGGGGAGAGAGAATAATAATCGTTATGTTACCTGCGCCCATGGGGATGGTGGGATGTGCGAGCGTATGAAAAGGAGAGTGGAGCAGGATTTGTGATTTCAGTGGTTTTGCCTTCTCCGGAGCCTCCTGGGACTGCCGGGGGGACCCTCTTCGCCGCAGTTGGAGCCTCATCGAAATCTCAGTCAGAGCGTTCTCCAGAACAGGTCCTAGGGCCGATTCTGAGGAGGAGGAAGAGGGATGAAGGGGGGGAGGGAAGGTTGCAAGGATAGAAGGAGTGAACACAGCGCAGGCAACAACAAGTGATCCTGGCGAGAGAGCCAAACGGATGTAGTTGTGAGTCCCGCAGCTGTGAGCACCGCCATCGGTGGGGCCCCCCATGGGGCCACGAAGCGCGTAAGGGGTGTGCCGAAATTGGCGGGAACGCCGTGCGAACGCACCCACTTGGGCCTTCGGTGAAGCTCCCGTTGGGGCGCCGCGAAGCGTGTGAGGGGCGTGCCGAGTTGGGCAGCGGTGGCGCACGCGAACGTGGCCGCTGGGCTCTTCGGGCCTATGGGCCATCAAACGCGTGAGGGGCGGTCCGGATTGAGGGGCGGGTACGCCATGCCAACCTTGCTACAATAGGTTTCGGTGGAGACCTCTATGTGGCGCCGCGAAACGAGGGTCGTGCCGTTTTCGGGGCGGATACGCCATGCGAATCTTGCCGCCAGGGCCCTAGGTTGAGCTCCCTATGGAGCGCCACGTAACGTGTGAGCGGCGTGCCGTATTGGGAGCGGGTACGCCATGCCAACTTTGTTAAGGTAGCTGTCTGTGGAGCTCCTTATGGGCTTCCACGAAGCGTGTAAGGGGAGTGCCGTGTTTGGGGCGGGCATGCCATGCGAAACTTGCCGCTGGAGCCTTCGGTGGAGCTCCCAATGGGTCGCCACGAAGCGCGTGAGGGCTATGCCGAATTTTGGGCGGGCACGCCATGCAAACCCTGGCACAGGGGCCCTAGATGGAGCTGTTCATGGGGCCACGAAACGTGTGAGGGTGTGCCGAATTCGCCGAAGGTGAAGCTCTCCATGGGGCCACGACGCGTGTGAGCGGTGTTCCGACTTGGGGGCGGGCACGCCATGCGAACCCTGCAACTGGGGTCCTAGGTGGAGCTTTCTACGGGGCGCCACGAAACGTGTGAGGGGCGTGCCAGAATGGGGAGCGGGCACGCCATACGAACCCTGCCGTTGGGGCCTTCGGTACAGCACCCAGTAAGGGCCACGAAACGTGTGAGGGGTGTGCCGACTTGGGGGCGGGCACACCATGCGAACCCTGCAACTGAGGCCCTATGTGGAGCTCAATATGGGGCGCTACGAAACATGTGAGGGGCGTGCCAGATCGGGGGCGTATGCGCCATGCGAACCCTACCAGTGGGGCCTTTGCTTCAGCTCCCTGTGGGACCACGAAACGTGTGAGGGTATGCTGGAACGGATAGCGGGCACGCCATAGGAGGAGGAGGAGGAGGAGGAGGAGGAGGAGGAGGAGGAGGAGGAGGAGGAGGAGGAGGAGGAGGAGGAGGAGGACAGAGAGGACGAGTAGGAGGAGGAGGAGGAGGAGGAGGAGGAGGAGGAGGAGGATGTTTCGTCTACCTTTGGCGAGGTGTCAACAACAAGCCGGCGAGTCGAGTTAGCAGCTGAGTGGGGCGAGGCCGCGGCACTTTCCAGGAACAAGCGGGCACCCACGCATGCCACGCAGGAAATTGGCCTGCACGGGTGCCTCAAGCGGCGGGGAAGCAGCAGCACCGCATGAGCGCAACCAAAAACATATCGCAGCGAGCGTTACTGTTGAAAGCAACGTAGTCAAGTCTGCAGGTCAACGACAGCCGGCGCGAAACACTGTCACTGTTCGTCAGACGTCGGGGGGCAATCGACAGCTACATCAGGACGTTTGGGGCACGTGGTGCACGTGGTGCCTTTTTCACATGGTGCACGTCTGCCTTTTCACATGGTGCACGTCGTGGGGCAATCGTCTGCCTTTTCACATGGTGCACGTCTGCCTGTGCACATGGTGCCCGTGCACACGTTGTACGCTTCCCACAGGCTCACCAAAAGGTTGCCAGGGGTCTGCCACAGACCTGTCATAGCTCATGCGCAGGCCTACCACAGGCCTATTCTAGGCCTATTTTGCTCGGTCCATGGGCCGTTCCATAGCCTGCTCAAAGCTTGAGCACATAGGCTACGCATCGGCCGATGATAGGCCTCTGCAAAGCGTTTGCGTATGCCCTCAAAAGGCCGATGCACCTTCTATGCATGGGCCCACAGTCGGTTTACCGTGTGTGTCCCAACGCCTACTGCAGGATGAAGATTGATCTACTGGCTGCCTATGTGCAGGGTATGCGTAGGCGTACGATTGACCGATGCACTAGCTATGCATACGCCTACCGTCCGGTTGTTGGTTGTGTCCGCACGCCTATTGTAGGTTGACGATAGACCAACGGATACGGATTGCTTCTGCATCGGCTATGGTAGGCCTTACATAGACCTTTGTGTAGGCTGCCGACAGGCCTGTCATTGGCCTACGCGTAGCCCCTCGATAAGTATATTTCAGGCCACTGAGTAGCCAACCGACTGGCCTTTTATAGGCCGATCGATCGGTGTTCACAAGGATTGCTGACGCGCCCTAATTATGGCTTGTTATACACAGACGATGTGTAGCTACCCATAGCATAGGGTGCGCATCGGGGATTTATGTCAAGCCCCCGAGTACTCCTCTTCACGGCCCTGGTGACCCCAGAGACCCAAGATGGCGAAAGGTTTGTTTCGGTCCTCTGCGGCAACGGCGACCGACCGACCGACCGACCGACGGACCGACCGACCGACCGACGGACGGACGGACGGACGGACGGACGGACGGACGACGACTACCACGGTGGCGGCGGCGGCTCCGTGGCCGAGAGCGGTTGCGCAGGCCGCGCGGGCCCTCGCGAGCTTGGCGGAGGGCTCGGCCACCAACAAGGAGCTCCCCCCAGGAGGAGGAGGCGGAGGCGTAGGAGGGGGAGGGGCCTCATCATACCTCTCGTCTCTTCCATCGTCTCTTATCACCACCATCGTCGTCGTCGGCATTGTCATCGTCATCGTCATCAACAACCGCCGGACACAGGGTCTCTAAGGTTGCCGAACGCCCGGTGGTCGGAGCTGCTGCCTTTCCTGGGCTCCAGTCGCACTGGGTTCCACCTGGGCGACTTAGCTGCACGTAGCCCCTTCCCCCCCGCAGCTTCTTCCGTGGCTAGGCGGGTGTGTCCTTGTTTCCAGGGCGGTAGGCTGGACCCGCTGGCGTCCCCCGCTCCCTCCTGTTTCCTGGACGTTGTGTTGTCCCTGGAGGCGTCGTCGGTGCCCTTCTGGGGGCTTGGCATGCCTTGCTCGCCGCTCCCGCTGGCTGCGTCTTGGACGACGGCTTGTGCGTAGGGCGTCCATGGGTCTTGGACGGTGGATTCATTTGGCTCACCAGGTGCGTCGCACCATATGCCCAGGGGATCTGCCTCCCAGCTCCTGCTGGGGCTCCTCTCCTCAGCACGCGCGAGCGTACGCGCACACCCGCACACCCGAACACCCGCACACCCGCACACGCGCACGCGCGCACACCCACACACTCGCACACCCGCACACTCGCACACCCGCACACGCGCACACGCGAACCCGCACACTCGCACACGCGCACACCCGCACACCCGCACACGCGCATACGCGCACACGCGCACACGCGCACACGCGCACACGCGCACCCGCGCACACGCACAAGCGCACAAGCGCACAAGCGCAGAAGCGCACACGCACACACACGCACTGCCACCGATTCAAGCCGATCACGACGAATTCAAGGGCGATCTACACGGCCACACTGCGAAGGGCGGTAGGCCGGCTCAAGACCGCCCATTCCTGCTTCGGAGCGGGGCCCGAACACAGCTTTCGAGCGGCTCTTCGAAGGAGCCGCTTCGTCCTCACGAGCCGATCTTCGAGCTCGGCGGCGAGGGCGGCAGATGCGCCGTGCAGGCGCGCTCCCAGCCTGGCCGCCTCGTCGGCCTGGTCGTTGAGCCGAGCAGTCCACTCGGCGTCGGCGGGGGGCTGCTCGGCCACGTGCTTGTCCAGGCCTCAAGGCCCGCGCATGCCCGGTCTTGCCGAAGGATGGCCCGCCAGAAGCCCGCGACAGGAGACGAGGGCGTGCCCGCTTGGGCCGTCCCGCTCCTGGCCGACCTCAGGACCGAGGAACAGTCACTTACGGTGGAGGCGCCTGCCAAGAAACACCCTGCTTTCCTCCAGGGTACCCTGGGTTTCTCGGGTTTCGATGGTCTTGCTATGAAGAGCGTGACGTGCCCAAGCCAAGAATCGGTGGACGCCCTGGGGTCTCAGGGTTGGGTTTCTTGTGGAAGGTTTCTTGTGGTCGAGCCCCTACTGTATGTACGTCTGCGCCCGCGAAAAACGTTGGTGCTCGGCGAAAACAGCCGACTGCGGCATCCCAGCGGGGATCGAGCCGACGATCCTGCGAAGGACGCCCAGGACGGGGTCCCGTTGGGACGGCTTCCCAGCCCGCTCGCCCAAGGGAGGTCAAGCAACGAGGGGGTGGAGGCGGACCCGTCCCCAGCGACGGCGCGACCGACGAGGAAGGCGAAAGTGCCGACAGGCACTTCTTGGTCGCCCGCGAGCGCTCGCATGCAGCCCTGCGGTGGCTCTGGGAGCCTCTGTTCCCGCGAGGGCAGGAAAAAGGTCCTGCAGCAACGGGTCGCCAACAGCACGGAAAATCCTTGAGCCCTTCCTGCCACTCCGAATCTTCGGCGGAGCGGTCTGCCTCGAAGTGCGGGCAGCACGAGACGCGGTGGTCACGGTGCCGGGCACAGCTCAGACAGCGCATTGCCCGCTCAGGATGTATCCCCAGGCCTGCGCCTGCTCCCCCGTCGTCCATGTGCCGCCGTGGAGCGAGACAACCACGTGGCGCTCCTGGGCGGTGAAGAGCGAGCTGCCGAGGCAGGCCTGGCGGCCTCCCACCAGATGCCCTCGAAGTCGTCGCCGAGGTTCTCGCGCCGCCGACTGGACTCGTCGGCACGATGCTCGATGCACGTTAGCACGTCCCGCTGGTACAGCCGCGCGACCTGCTCGGGTCACGTCTCCAGTATGGAATTCACGCCCGCCGACGGCGAATCGAAAGTCGTGGAGCGGGCCGATCTCCAGCCCGCCCAGGGGAGGGAGCGAAGCATAGCGCCGACAGGGACCGCCTCGTCAAGGCCGCCGTCGAGGCTGGCCCTTGCCGTTTCGTATGCAGTCCTCAGCTCCTTCATGTCCAGCACCTTGCCATTGGCCTGCGGGACGTCCGAGGCCCGCCACTTTTCTTCGGCGCACCGCTCCACGCTGAGGACGGTCGCATGAAGGAGGAGGAGGAGGAGAAGGAGGAGGAGGAGGAGGAGGGGCAATAGGAGAGCTTCAGCACCGAGCTGTAGAATACACGCCATACGTAAAGTGAACGGGTGAGGGGCGGCAGGACTTGAGCCTCCTCCTCCTCCTCCTCCTCCTCCTCCTCCTCCTACTCCTCCTCCTCCTCCCCCTCCTCCGCCTCCTCTTCACCCCCTCCTCCTCCTTCTCCTCCTCCTTCTCCTCGTCAGGGTAGTCTCGAATTCAGAAACTTAGGAAGCGGTTTTGGGTTTCGCTCGGCGCGGCAGCGGCGGCAGCAGCGGCGGGAGAGCGACAGCGGCGGCGGCGGGAGCTTCCACCTGTGCCGCCTCCCGCCCGCCTTCCTCCTCCTCCTCCTCCTCCTCCTCCTCCTCCTCCTCTTTTACCTCCTCTTTTTCCTTCTCTTTCTCCTCCTCCTCCTCCTCCTGCTCCTCCTCCTCCTCCTCCTCCTCCTCCTCCTCCTGACTGCGGCCACCGGGCCCACCCGCCCCTGTGTAGCGGAGGCGCCGCTGAGCCCCGCGGAAGCATTACCGCTCGTGCCGCGCCTTCGCCCTCCAACGGGTTGGCCAGGTGCCGGTTCTGCTCACCGGCGCCGTCGTTTCTGCTCACCGGCGTCGTCGCCATGCGCTTCTGCTTGTCCGGCGCCCCGCCGTGGTTCGCACGAGCCGGGCAATCCTTGCTTTAGTGACGTGTTTCGCCGATCTGTCGGCGATGCGTCGCCGATGCAGCAAGGTTGACGTTTCCCCCCTCAGCCTGTCTCTCTCTCCCCCTCCTTCCCTCTTCGACCGCCCCCCCATCTCCCCGCACCCAGGCCGCCATCGCGCGCGCCGGGGCGATCGCCCCGCTGGTGCGGCTGGTGGAGCAGGGGTCTGCCGAGGGCCGGCTCGAGGCGGCACTGTCTTCGCCGCCGACGTTCTCGTCGTCGTCGTCGTAGTCCTCGGGGTCGTCGTGGTCGTCGGGGATGTCGTCGTCGTCGTCGGGGGGGGAGGAGGACGAGGAGGAGGAGGATGAGGAGGAGAAGGAGAAGATGGATGCGGAGGCGGAGGTGGAGGCGGAGGCGGAGGAGGAGGGGTGGGGAGGGGGATGTGGCAGGAGGAGGCAATCAATAAGGGAGGTGAGGGGAGGGTAAGGAGGAGGGGAGGGGGGAGGAGGTGGGTTCCATCCGGTCGCTGTCAGTTTGCGCTTTGACGCGAGTGTCGGTGTTTGGGGGTGTGCTGCGGATCCCGGAGTGGGCGACAAAGAGGAGGGAGGAGACGTAGAAGCAGCAGAAAAATGAGGAGGAGGGAGGAGGATGGAGGAGGGGGAAAAGGACGAGGATGGGGGAGGGCGGAGGATGTGGCGTTCAATACTTCTGTAGATTCGGGCATCCCATGATTCGCCTAAGATGGTGGGCGGAACGTGCTTCAGGACATGTCGGCATGAGGAGGAGGAGGAAGAGAAGGAGGAGGAAGCAGTGCAGGAGCAGGAGGAGGAGGAGGAGGAGGAGGGGGAGGAGGGGGGTCCGTTGCCATTTTGGCTCAAGACCTATGGTCGCGAGTGGGCAGCCCACACCAGTGAGCATACCTCCGTGCAAGCGGAGGCGGACACCGATCTCCTCTCTCCGCTCGCCCTGCCTCCCCAGCGGGAGCCGCTTTCTCCATACTGTACTCTTCGCCGATGGGCTCACACGGCGATGGCCAACCATCCAGCGCTCGGCTTCGGCGAGAGGGCTCTCGCTCGCCGCTTCGGTCGCTATCTGTTGCTGATGCTGACGCTCTGCGTAAGCATGTGGACGACACCAAGGTCCACATCATGGAGTCCGTGGCCGCAGTGCAGCGCGCCATGTCCCAGCTCACCGAGTCCGTTGACCGCCACTACTCGTCGGTGGACCAGACCATCCAACAGCGCTTCATGGAGGTCGAGAGGCGCCTGGACAACACTGACCAGAGCATTGCTGCGATGCGCTCCGAGCTTGACGCACTCAAGGCAAAAGTCAACATCGTCTCCACCGAATCCCCTGCGGCAGCTGCTGAAGGTATCATCAACAGGGAGTTCGACAGAGAGATCGACCCCACCATCATCATCGTGCGATGCCCCCACATGGTACCGCGTGATCGTGTCCTGCAGGCCATTACCCCGTGGCTCGCTGACTCAAATTGGGAGGGGGACTCGTGGCTGCTTCGCGGCGATCCCGCAGCGAAGCGCTTCACTATCAAGTGCAAGGGCGCCGCTGGCTGGGCCGCTCGCCGAGTTTGCCAGGCCATGGGCGCCCTCAAGTTGCCCAGCGGAGATTTCAGGCGCTTCAACATCCAGGCCAGTGGCAACAGTCTCCCGACTGAGCTGTTCATGTCTTTCGATAAGAATCCCCGTCAAATCAAACTTGAGATTGCGACGAAGACCGTGCGCAAGACCCTTCTGGAGCTGCACCCCTCGATGCGTTTCTTCGTGGACCGCCGCGCTGGAGTTGTCTCCTCGCAGTGGAAGCCGGTGGTCAAGATCGCCCCCATGACCGACAACTCCATGCCGACCTTGGAGTACGAGAGTGCCAACATCCGCGCCCTCAACCTCGACAGGAGTAGAATCGGGGCGCATTTGCCAGCGCCGCAGACAGTGCATCGCGGAGCCTTTAGCCACTTATTCCGCGTCCTTGGTGGGGCGCCGCTCGAGGCCAGGTGTTTGTTGCTATGCACCTGGAATGCCCGTGCTCTCTTTCATCGCGATCCCCACGCCCACTCTTCCAACCTCTCCTACCTCGCGCCCCTCCTCAGGCCCAACTCGATCATAGCGATGCAAGAGACTCATGGTAACATACGCGACCTCTCCAATTTCCTCTTCTTCTCACGGCGCTTCTTCAGTGGGCAGGCCTCCTTTATTGACTCGCGCGGGCGAGGTGGTGTTGCGACGATCTTTCCCGCCCTTACCCCGGAGAATGGTTTCCATGAGTTGGCCCAGTGCGAGTCCGAGATTTTGGTCTCTGGGAGAGTCTTGCTCTGCCGATTGGATCTTGGACCGATCTCTACAGCGCCTGTTTCCCCCAACTTCTTCATCTCCCACTTCAACATTCATAATCATGGTTTAGACAATGCTACGACTAGGGGAGTTATTGATCGGATCAAACAAGAACTTGCCATTGCTCGCCGTGCCCCAGATCGGCATGTCTTCGTGCTTGCTGGTGATTTTAATCTCTGTGCGGAGCCGCCGCAGCAGAGCACGCCGCCCGCTCATCTCGAGCCCCGCGCTGCCCTCCAAGAGTGGCGACGGCAGAGGGCCTCTGCCTGGCAGGAGATCTTCTCGGCATTGGTTGAGATAGAATGTTCTGAACCTACGCACTACAATGGAGCACAGCAACGTACATCGAAGATAGACAGAATATTTACCAGCCTTCCTGGTCATTATCTTACTTGTCTTCACGTTGACATAAGCGCACGCGAATACCCAGAAACACTTGAACAAAAGGTTTCTCCGACCATGCCGACCTTCTCGTGCATCTCCGCCACCGCGAGCCCCCCGATGCGGATGCCCGCCCCGTCGCCAAGCAGTTTTTGTTCAGCACCCGCTATTTAAGCTGTTTGTCCAGCAGACCTGGGAGGAGAGTGACGCGTCGTCTCCCAGCCCGCCCCAGAAGTTGCTTTTCTACAAGGAGGTTTTGAAGGAAGGTGCCCGACAGGCTCGCAATGCCCTCCTACGAGAAGCCCCATCAGGACCCAGCCGCACAATTACTGCTTATGAGATCTATTAGCCGATGTGTTTGGAGAAATGATATGACCCTCGCCCGAAAGTTGATGACGCACCCCCTGGCCCTAGAGCCCCTCAACGTGGACCCCATCATTTCCAGAGCCCCCCTCTTGGATCCTCAGAGGTTCTCTGGCACGCTGGGCGCTCTTCAGTTTCAGGACGCCGTCCGCGAGCAGCGCAGGGTCACGGGCCAGCCACCTGCCGCAAAGTCGGAGTCCAAGCGTGCTAAGCTCCGCCAGCGCCTCAGACGTCCGGTCAGGCGCAGCCGGCTGTGGGCCCCTTTTGACAGACGCCTGCAGCTGATTGGGGTTCGCTCAGGCAACCGCATCTTGACTGACCAGCTCGAGATGCAAAACGTGACTGCCACTCGTTGGGGGCAGGTATTTCAGAAGAAACCAGTGGACGAAAACGCAGGGCAAAGGTATTTGCACCGCCGGTGTACCCAAGTCGATCTTCGCGACCTCCCCCCCCCCCCGTTATCACGACATGGAAAAATTTACCAGACACCTCGCTGACTCGGCCCCTGGCCCTGACGCCATCTATTATAGTGCCTACAAGTGCGGTCCATATGCTTGTGACGTGCTCTTCGAGGCCCTCTCCTGGATCCTCAATGGGCAACCCGTGTTTAGAGGCTTCAACTCGGTTCTGATGGTATTTATCCCCAAAGGAGAGGAGGAGGACGTCCAGAATCAGTGCATTCGTTCCGCGAGTGCTCTTCGACCCCTTGGCGTCAAAAACACTGACAACAAGATTATTGTTGGAGTATCCTTTCTTCAGCTAGACAAGATCATGCCATCGTTCGCTGCCAAAATACAGAGAGGATTTATTCGTTCTAGAAACTTTGGCAACAACATCGTCGAAGTAGACGCCATCTCACGCATTCATTCTATGTCGCCTTTGGCTCTGATTGACCTTCCCGCCCTCATCAGTTTTGACTTCGGACAGGCCTTTCCCAGTCTCAGTCACCAATGGCTTCGCCGAGTGCTGGGCTCCATGAATGTACCCGACCCTCTTCGAACGCTGGTTTACACTACTTATGCGAATGTGATGTGCTATGGTGCGTTTATGACTTCCTCCCTCTTCTTGTTCTTTCAGGATTGCAGGATTATCCAAGGGTGCCCGGCCTCGGGCACGCTGTTCGCCATAGCCGCGGACTGCTTCTTCACTGATGTGGAGGCCACGCTCTCTCGTCACTCCGCTGGCATTGCCCGTGCCTGTGCTGATGGTGTGGGTGCATCTATTCGCCGACTGGATCACATGTGTCTCTTGCACCGTGCTTTTTCGACAGTAGAACGGACTTCGGCGCTGAAGCTGAAGACGACGAAGTGCCAGATCGCGCCGCTGGCCGACGCCTTCTCGCCGATCCCCGCGCGTAGATATGTGAGATGACTCGCCAGGAATTTGCCCTCTTGGGCTTGCTTCGAGGTCACTCCTGCGCTGAGATACATCGGCCTCTGGTTAGGCCCCGCCGCGCTTCTCCACTCCTGGAGAGCTCCATTCGCCAACTGGCTGGACCGTGGCTCGAGACTCGCTTCCCAGGGTGCGCCGTTCTCGGTCACCGCCCAGAATTATGAAAGCAGAGTGGCTTTGGTGCTCAGCTATGTGTCTCAATGTTTGCCTCTCCCCTCTGAAGTTGCCAGACCAGAGCCAGCAATGTTTGCTCGTCTTTTTCGGACCCCGAACTGTGTGATCCCCCGTGCGGGGTGGTTTGAGCTTGCGGCCCTCGAGTCTCAAGTATCCAGGCTACCTCAATCGCTGTTCTGATCCGCGCGAGCCGTCTGCACATTGTTTCCTGGCGAGAGATGCTCCCAGCTCTCTCTGCTGTTGCCGAAGAGCAACTCCCCATCGTCCAGCGAGTCATCCACCACTCGCTCTCGCCATCTTTCTGGATCCTCCCCTCGTTATGCGAGCTCCTTGCTGCTGCTGACGCTGCTTTCCCTCGTCCCATCGGCTCCCATCTTGTCGCGTCCACTGCTCGCTCACAACGGAGTGTCTCACGCACCGCCAAACTTGCTATCGAATCTCTAGCAGAAGAGATTGCTGAGGCTCCTGGCCCCAGCAAATTCAAGGTTCAACGCCATTTAAAGATCAATATTTCTGAGGGCCTCCACCCTCCTTGTCTATATGAGGTTTTTGCCTCTCGGCTGGCCCAGTGGATGCCCATCTCCCTGCCGGAGGCCCGCGGTCTTCCGTGGGATGCCCTGCGGTCCGAACTCTCGCGTTCCAGTGTCTCTTTCTCGATGGCCTTTCTTAAGGTGCTGATAGGCGGATGGGCCACCGACAGGAGGTTTCAATAAGTATCGCCATGCATGCTTGGCTGCCATGACGGGCTCGATGAGCTCGCTCACTTCTGGTGCTGCCCGCATTTCACACGCCATTTCGCCTCTCTGCTGCACCTAGACTTCCAAGTGTTCTTGTCCACCTCTCCTCTCGGTCGTCTTGGCATTGCTCTCCCCTCTCGCTCTTCTCTCGCCGTTCCTGCTGCTGCCGCCATCTTGTTCACGCATGCACATGCGCAGCCCGAGCGCCCGATCTCGGCCGACAAGGTCGGCCTCATAATTCCCGCCGCGAGGTGGGCGCTAGAGCGGCTGTAGACTGACGGACGCGGCGCGCGGCCACGTGCGAGGATGGGGGGGGGAGGGGGAGGAGGATCAGGATAGGGACCAGGAGAAGGAGAGGAGGGGGGAAGGAGGAGGAGGAGGAGGAGGGGGAGGAGGAGGAGGGGGAGGGAGTAGGAGGAAAAGGAGGAGCAGGATGAGGTGGAGGAGAAGGAGAAATGAGAGGAATCTTATACATCACCATCATAATAGCAATATTCAAATGTTTGAGAGCACTACGAATAAACCAGTTATCATCATAGTACTACTACGAACAATGATAGGAATACTCGGAATGGGAGAAACATTAAGATTACGACCAATACGAACACGAACTATGTTTAGAACGCGAGTGCGAGTATTAGTACTCTATAGTAAAATTGGTAACGAAAATGTATCACAACAGTAATGGTAATATGAATGAGGCGATGTAGAACACGACGAATATCCATACTCTATTATTACGAAGACCAGCGTTACTGAAACACGGCAGTTACTACCACGGCGAGTATGAAGTACAATAATAAGCAATATACATAACAACCGTACTACGACAAAAGGATAATGATAACCACCGTACCACGCAAATCACTAATCGCCCTATTAATAATGATACGCATGCCACGGATAATATTACCGATGCGACGAATAATAATAAGGGGAACACCAAGCACGCACCAAAAACGACTACGAATACCACACATATTACGAATACTAATATTATCATTCAGAATAGGTCTACTGGTGCTAAGTATAATCACACGAATATGAAGAAGGCAAAGAAGAGGAGGTGGAGGAGGAGGAGGAGCGAGGGGTGAGGAGGATGGCAAGGGATGCGGGAGGATAACAAGGCGAGAGGGATTCAGGAGGAATCGTGACAAGGCGGAATGGTAGGAGGTGTTCGGAGGAGAAATGAAGCAGAAGGCGAGAGGAGGGAGGAGGGAGGCGGCAGGAGGCGCAGTAACTGGAGGGAGGATGAAGAGGAGGGAGAGGGGGAGGAATAGCAGGAAAAAGAGAATGCGGTAAGGTTGTGGGACGTTGGCATGAGACGGACGTTTGTGCTCTGGTCAGTGGTTGCCCTCCCTACTCTTGCGAGACGTGCAACAAAAAGGAATGTGTGGGGCGCGCGCCTCTGTGTGAGGGCCGGAGGAGAAATTGAGAGTGCCTTGCCACGGCGCTCGTCACCAACGATCAGCCGCGCGCGGGGCCCCCCTTCGAAGCCTGGCCTCCTTCCGATCGGCAGCAAGGCGGGGAGGAGGGAGGGGGGAGGAGGGAGGAGGGAACCTCCTCCAGGAAACGGGCGTGGACGCCCCCGGCCAACAATGGGGGAGGATGCTATCGCCTGTCTACGCAGCCTGAAGGGTAGTTGGTACCTGGATTCCGGAGCATTTGGGGGGGCCCAGGAATCGGGAGGGAGGGCCCGGGGGATGAGGGTTTGGGGACACGGAGGAGCAGGAGCGAGCGAGCGTGCGGCGCAGGTGCGGGGCACATGGGCGTGTTCGTGTTTTTTGGGGCAGGCATCGCGCGGCCGTAGCCGTAGCCTCATATCGAGTTCCAGCGACAGGCACGTATGGAGCAATGCGCAAATTGATGGAAGTAGAGGGCGTGGCGGAAATAACATATGACCCAGGACACATGGAAGGCGCCGAACCTGATGTGCGGGAGCCAGTGCATTCGGAAGTCGTAGGGGAGGATGTTGTTCGGGTTGTTCTTGGAACTCGTGCTTCTCCTCGGCTCGGGTTTCAAGATTGTTTTGCCATCCCCCCCATAGCATCAGCTTTATGGGATTGCCAATTCAGTTGGACTGTTCTGGGCGCTAATCACCACATGTGGTGTTCACGGCGTGGTATGCGTTCCTGGGTTCCCGTCGCTGGTGCACCCCATTGTTTGCTGCAGTCGTGGGCGGACGGCTGCGCACGGCACTGCGTGACGCCTCTGGGACCCCAGCCGCTGGCATCGCGAGGCGCTCGGTTTCCTTGACGACGCCCTCCAAGTTGCTCGGCCTCGTGGTTTTTCGTCCCCGGCGCCCATGTCCACGTACTTCGTGGCCTTCGTTTGTCGCCGTTCACGATCGCATCGTCGATGCCGAGCTTTGCGCAAACATTGTATCCCATGTGTTCTCGCCCCCGCTTCTGTCAGGTCCTCGCCTGCGCGCCCACTGCCATGAATGCTGGCGGCCTGGTCAGGGTGCTCAGAGGCTCATTCGCCATAGCGTACATGTATTGCCAGTACTGTTCATCATGGGAACCACGTGCGGCGCTCGCTTCATCGTGGAAGAGACGCCCGGATAGATGGTTAATGTCCTTCTGTTTCAACGACAAGTGTGTGCTGACTTGTGCCCACCCGTTGTTGCTGGCTCGATCTAAACTATGCAGAATATTGGGTATCATGTCCCCGAAGTCCGATTCTGACGCGCGACAGCATCTAGCGAACTTCAGAAGAGGAGTCGTTCGATTGGCAGACCCTGTTGACTCACTGGTTGCAGACATCGCATTTGGGGCTGGCGTCGTTACATGCCTTATATAATGTCTCGACATGCACCGTGGTCTATTTCCAGCTGTATTCCATGCCTGGCATGCGCGATGCGGCAGCGTCGATGGAGCGCATGTTGTCGATGATCGTGTTCAGGCACTCGTTGATTGACGTTTCGTTTCTCCTCCGCCTCAATTTGGTTGTGATCCCCACTGGCACCTGGAGCGCCGCGCAGGAGGCCGGAGGAGAAAAAGGAGGAGGTGCAGTTTGGAGGATGCGGCTGGGAGGAGAGCGATGAGGATGAGGAGAGAAAAGGGTAGCAGGAGCAGGCTGCATGTTGGGGGGGAGAGAAAGGTGGAGGCGGCGGTGGAGGAAGAATCGGAGGAGGAGGAGGAGGAGGAGGAGGAGGAATAGGAGGAGGAGGAGGAGGAGGAGGACGAGGAGGACGAGGAGGACCAGTAGGAAGGGGAGTAGTAGGAGGAGGCTGGAGGGGGAGGGCGAGGACGGGGGAGGAGGAGGGCGCAGGGGTGGGCTCTCCCGTGTGGCTTTCCGCCTGAGCAGCCAGGCCCTCTCGTGACGTCGCCGAGGCGGCCATTCCGTCCAGTTCTGGAAGAGGGGGGGAGGAGGAGGAGGAGGGAGAGGAGGAGGAGGAGGAGGAGGAGGAGGAGGAGGAGGAGGAGGAGAGGGAGGAGGCGGAGGCGGAGGCGGAGGGAGGGAGGCGGAGGCGGAGGCGGAGGCGGAGAGGAGGGAGGAGGAGGAGGAGGAGAGGAGGAGGAGGAGGAGGAGGAGGGAGGAGGAGGAGGAGGGAGGGAGGGGGAGGGGGAGGGGAGGGGGGGAGGAGGGGGAGGGGGAGGGGGAGGGGAGGGGGAGGGGGAGGGGGAGGGGGAGGGAGGGGGGGGAGGGGAGGGGGAGGGGAGGGGAGGGGGAGGGGGGGGGGGAGGGGGAGAGGGGAGGGGGGGGAGGGGGAGGAGGAGGAGGAGGAGGAGGAGGAGAGAGGAGGAGGAGGATGAGGATCCTCATGGGGGCAACGTTAGGGGGGATCTCACCGATCGCGCATTCATCTCCGATAGGGGCCCGATCGCCCACCCCGTCAAGGAGCGTGCAGTTCTGCTATCGGGGGTTTGTCGCCGATCTATCGGCGACGTATTGCCGATTTCAAGTCGATGTCTCCCCCCCATGAGCCGACAACCCCCCTATCGTTCCGCTCAGGTCGTCCACTTCCCCGCAGACGGGAAAGAATACAGCACTAAGTTTCATGCTGTGGGGGATCGATGGATGTGGCCGGATGGGCTATTCGGTACTTTCGCTCGAGTTTGGTTCGCGGTGTTTCCTCAGCGGTCTTGCTTCTTCTCCAAAAGACGCGCTGTCAAACAACAGTGCGCAAACATCAGTTTTCGGGGGTCCGCGCCCAACCCAAGAAATCCGCGCGGGCGTCCGAGTGCTGATGCTTATGCAATTGTGAGGCTCCCTCTCCTCCTCCCTCATCTCGCTGACCGCCCCCTTCCTGGGACCTCCCCAGGGTCCCAGGAGAGGACGGAGGATGGGAGGGATGAGTCGGCAGGATGGCGACGAGCAGACGGATGGGCCTGGCACACGCGCGGAAATCCGCGCAGTCGCACAGGGGGCGAGGTTCAGGGACGGGGGGGACAGAAACAGGTCAGGAGGAGCAGGACAAGGAAGGGGAAATGGAGGCTGCGGAGGCGCAGGCGAAGGGGAATGGAGGAGGGAGCAGCAGCATGTTGAGGCGAGGAGGACGAGCATCAGCGGCAGGAGGCGCAGGAAGAGCACGCGGAGAGTGCAAGGCAGCCCGCGCGCTGAACAACCTTCTCTGACGCGGCTGCCGGCATTGGTAGTGTGCCTGGTGGGCCCCGAGAGAATACGCCTCTTCAGTCAGACCTTCAGGAGTGACGAACATGCGCTGTTGTTGTCAAAGTTTGCGGCGGTCGTTGGTTGTCGAGCCCCGCAGACGACCCAGACCACAGAACCTGCCCCAGGGATGTGGTCGGCAGTTCTGGGGGGGGGAGGGGCGTCTTGAAAATCGCACCACGATTTGAGGTCTGGGAGGGACGGAATGGCGTCCGCGACCGATACTTGGCGAAGACGCTTACAGCGAACCACTGCCGCCCCCTGCCTTGTGGAAGCGCTTGTGTGGCCAGACGGTCGGCCGACGTCTTGCCACGTCATAGGGCAGTGAGTTCCCCCCGGCCGTTGTGGAACGACTTGTGGAACGGTTTGGTTTGGGACGAGGAGGAGGAGGAGGAGGAGGAGGGAGGGAGAAGGGTGGAGGAGGATGAGAGGGAGGAGAAGCAAGGTGACGAGGAAGAGGCGGCATCTCAGGGGCCTCTTGGGAGCTTCCTGGGAGCGTCTGGGGGGGCCTATGACCGTTTGAGCGGGGGGGGCCTCCTGGGGCCTCTTGGAGGCCATCGTGGCCAACTGGAGACCATCGTGTGCCATCGTGGACGCCATTTTGAGCCACTTTATGAGGCTTGGAGGCCATCTGGGCCGTCTTGGAGAACGTCTGGGGCCATTTTAGGGGGGTCGGAGGGGGCCAGGCAGGCGTGTGAGGGGGGCAGGGTTCCGTGGAAGGCCCCACCGCCCATTTTGAGATTGGGACATGTGTCTTAATGAGGAATCCCCCAAAAAGGGAATGCAGTGACAGTATCAAACGAATGCCGCATACTGGGCTCGATGCGGCATGCGGCCTTGATTCCTGCTTTGCGCGAAGCAAGACTACCGAACACACGGCTAGACCACGGCTCAAACCACACCAACCGCGGCACACGCGGTGGAGGCCAAGTGCTCCCCAAAACCTTAGATAATAAAGTCTGGGCACATGTAGCAGCGATGCGGTTGGAAGCATGGATTGCAGGAGAGAAACGAAAGAGAACAACCATGAACTAATGATGAGGACTTGGATTTTAACTTGGAGTGTTGGGGGTAAGGGTTGGGTGATTAGGAGTAGTGTTCAGAAGCATTGTTTACGTGGTCGGGTCAGGGTCTAGGGCTCGGTAGTCGGGTTCGGGTATGAGCGTTTGGGTGTCTGGGTGTAGGCTTGGTGCTTAGGGTGGTCAGGATTGGGGTTGGGGTTTTAGTCAGTGTTGGGTTCGGGTTAGTGCTTAGGGTCAGGGTCTGGCTTGAGAATGGAGGGGGTAGTGTTATAATGAATGTGTAGGGTCAGGGTGTGGGGTTCTGGTTCGAGGTTCGGTTTGAGTTAGGGGGATCGGTTAAGGGTTCGAGGGTTTCGGGGGTAGGATGCTGGTATCAGGGTTATGGTTAATGGTCACTGTGTTGAATTGGGGCTTGGGGCCGAAGTTGAGTTGGAGGTCTAGCTAGTAGGATTCGGGTATCAGGGTCTAGGGATCAAGTACATAAACAAGGACGACATCTACTCAGTTCCCGGCCACGAGGGGGGAGAGGGGTTCGAACCTCTGGCCCAAAAGAAGGGGGGAGGTCCCGGACAACAAATCGGAAAGGGGAAAAGGGGTCCTGGACGGCGGGGCGGGGAACGTGGCGGAGAGGGGGGGGGGGAACCAGCAGCAGAAGTATCGAATTGAGGCATTTGCTACCTCAGTCAATGGATAACCACTGTTAAGCACATGTTAACGCTCATTGTCAATTGTGACGCTAATTTGTCAGGGTTGTGACAGTTGGCAGACACGATACTAGCAGCCGCATGTGACCGAATTGTTGTGATATCGTTTTTCGTTCTCTTTGCAACTTTAGTCCACTTGCCATGTTTTATCTTCGACTCCGCTGACCCCCTTGAGGGGTGTGATCAGCATGTGTTGTTTCACCAGACTGGCTGGCATCGTTGCGGCACAAAGCATGGGCTTGTGATTGCAAACTGTGCCTCCAGAGTCCACATCTGAGGAATGTAGGCCTGCGGTCTCCTGGTACACGCGGGCTGCTCAACGATTGTGGTGTGGTGATTTCTCTCTGCTTGAGAAACAGATCGCGTACATTACGACTTGTTGGCGCGCGGCGCGGCCTCCGTTTGCCTCAACCTAGTTGCTTCCATGCCTCCTTCGTCTCACCACTCGCGTCTGTCGGCGGCGAGCGAGGGGGGAAGTGAGAAGGAGAAGGCCTTCTCAGAAGGAGGTGGGACTTCTCATAAGCCCTCGCGCCTTCTGTGTCTTCAGGTTAGGCTCAGACAACTTCTCAGAAGCCCTAGGTTCTTCCGAGCCTTGCCAGAAGGCCTTCTCGCCTCACTTCCCCCCTGCGCTCGCCTCCGAGAGTAGCATCAGGACCAGTCCACGTCAGCGTGCCTACTCTCAAGTCCTATTCTTTGAAGACGGCCAGGCGTGGACAGGGGGCATCAGCCAAGTTCCACGCCATTTCCTCCCCGTCCCACGCCGTCATAATTCGTCCGGGCAAACTCGTTCCCTGCTCCTTTGCCTCATCGCTCGTAAACAACAGTCCATTTACCCTCCGTCCGTCATTCCCCCTCCCCATGGCCCATGGATGCTTCCCGGGGGCTCGTTCGAGGTCTCTAGGAGGCACACTGGGGTCTCTTTGGGAGCTGATGGACATCTCTTTGGTGCCTCTCGCGGGCTTCTTGACTTCATGGTGGTACCATACGCGGTACCAGGAGAGAGGGACAAATGAAACATAATCCGAGCCAGGTGGATCATATCATATCAATGTTCGTTGGTCGGTAGTTTAAATAGATTTATGGGGAAAGGTATTATTCGGGTTCAGAGTCGAGAGCGCTGCTGTCATTTTTCACACCACACCCGCCCCACCAGCCGCGCTAGTAACACAAGACACTACATATTCAGACGAATTCTCCAGATAGGCTTGCCTATATGAGTCCTAGATCCATTACTAGAGAACTGGTCCACTGCCCCCCACACATATCTTACGTCAAACAATAGAGATGCTTCCCTCTGTTGCAGTGGTTTCTTATTTGCGTTGTATTGTAATGGCTACATCCGGTCTTGCAATGGCTTCTTCTGTTATTGCAGCGGCTTCCTGTGGCTATTCCAATGGCTTCCTCTGCAAGTGCAATGGACTGCTGTCGCCATTCCAGTGGCGTCCCAACACTCGCCCAGCAATCGTCAACATCAGAAGTATTTCAGTGTAGAATTGAGCAGCTCATACTAGACTAGAGTAGGAGTAGGTTGTAGTAGCAGAGCATAGTCGAGTAGATCGATTTCGAGTAGAGTAGAGTAGAGTAGAAGTAGAGTAGAGATGAGTGGAATAGGAGTACAGCAGGGTAGTGCAGAGTAGAGCAGAGCAGGGCAGGAGTAGTAGAGTAGAGTCAAGCTAACCAGGCCGAGCGAGTCAGAGGGCCCCGCCTTCTACCAGCATCCCTCCCACAACCCAATAATCTAGATAATCAAGTCTGCGCACAATCTGATACTGGAAGCTCGCGGGCGGTCCCGCGTTGGCGAAGAGGAATACGCGGGCCCGCAGCAGCGAGAGCGGCACAACGCCCGATTGGCGCGGTGAAGACGAAGCATGCGCCGCGCTGACACAACAGTGCCATTTTCACAAACAAGCTGCGCGGCGTTTGGACGAGGTCGGCATTTCGCCCGTTCTTGTGCGGCTCCGCTGCCGCTGCCGCTTTGATGCGCATCGGCGATCGGACCATGCGCAGCGCCTGCGCTGGAACACCATTCCGATCGACATGCGCACGCAGCGTTGGCGAGGGTGGCATGCCGCCCAATTGCGCGGACCCCCAACAAACAAATGCGTAATAAACATTTGCGTCGCGTCAAGGCGGGAACTCCACGTTCAGGCGAAATCTGCGCCGGGTCGATAGCGACATTTTCGTCCGCTCGCGCAGCGACGAAATTGCGTGCGAAAAATGTGCGTCGCGCCACAGCGGGAACGCAGTTCTCTGGAAGAAGAAGCCCGGCGCCGAGGCGAGAGCGACATTTCGGCATCACGCGCGAGATGTGCGTTCCGCCCCACTTTGGCCACTCATTCTGCAACATGGACGACAGAAAGTCAATGTTGGGACGAAAATCGTTGCTTTGTTTGGTTGTTGTTTTTTGGTCCAGCGCCCCGCGTCAACTACTCCTTTCTCATTCCTCCGCCGCTTCCTCCCTCCTCCCATTCCTGCCTCTGCCCTCCGCATGTCCATGGCGGCACACCCTTCACACGGTTTGTGGCTCCAGAAGGAGCTCCGGTGCAAGCCCCAGTGGCAAAGTTCGCATGCGGCTCCCCGCCAGTTGCAGCACTTCGTGGCCTCACTAGGAGCCCCAAGTAAGGCCCAAATGCCAGCGTTCGCATGGCGTCGCGGCCTCATTCTGGCACACACCGTTCGCACGCTCCGTGGCCCCGAAGGAAGCTCCAACTGGGCCCACATGCCAGCGTTCGCATGGTGGCGCCGCTTCATGTCGGCACATTCCGCACGCGCCTCAGGGCCCCGTAAAGAGCTCTGACTAAAAGCCCAAACGCCAGCTGTCGCATGGCGGCGCTACCTCATTCTGGTACATTCCTCACACGCTTCGTGGCCCCGCAGGGAGCTCCAACGAAGGCCCAAATGCAAGCGTTCGCATGGCGGCGCCGCCTCATTTCAACACACCCCTCACATGCTTCGTGGCCCAATAGGGAGCTCCACCGACGGCGCTAGCGCCAGCGCCCGCATGGCGGCATCGCCCGACTTTGGCACACCTATCACAAGCTTTTGACCGCATACGGAGTTGCCCGTTTTACGTCCCACCAATAGTGATAGGATCTATAGGTGTACACATACATACGTACGTACATACAGATTGGAGACATTCGTCCGTGTGTGGCCGTCTGCTGATATGGGTATTTGGTTCAAGACGCGTTCGGACGTGTCTCGAATACGCTCGTTGGCTTCAACCAAACAGTGTTTTCGTTTCGCGACCAGCATTCTAATCAGTGCGTGTGTGCGGTGTACCGTACTTGATGCCGGAAGTGCACGTCGGCGAGTTGTCGGCCCGTCGTAAAACACAGCTCGATGTCTCATTGGCAGCGCATTGCAGTTCCACATTGGCGAAGCGTTACGTCATTTTACGTTCTTGCAGTCGCGACGTTGTCGTATCACCACAGCGATAGCCAGGTGAGTTGATGAATCGGGGAAGAGTGGAAGCACGCAGTGGGACAAGTAGAGTGGGCGGGGCGACTTGGGAGCCTCCCAGGCCGTCCGGAGGCCATCGCGAAGCGATCTTTGGGCGATTCGGGGCGTTCTGAGCCCGTCTGAGGGGCAGTCTTTGGGGCCTCCTCGGCTCCAAAAAAAGTCACTCGACCCAAAGACCACGGGTCACGACCGAAAGCCACGAGCACAAACCACGAGCCGCGGATCCGGGATCTGGCAGACCCGAATCGCAGGCCCCCTGCGGCGCTGGCATGGCTCTCCCTGGCATTTGCTGGCTCGCAGGATTTGTGTTCGGAGTTTTGTATCACTGGCAGTGCGTATCATTGATGTCTAGTTGTCCGGGTGGTAGTGATTTTGCGGTGCTCTTATGGACAAGCTCCGCTCGCCGTCTGGTGTTCGGTGGCGCGTTGGAGAGGGGTGACAGATCAGTATACACTTGCATTCCGGATGAGTATACACCCGACCGTATTCAGGATCAGTAGTTACACCCCCCCTACAGTAAGCTGCCCAGCTGACGTAGCCCGGACCTCGGTGACACCGAGCCCAGCCCGCGCGGAATGGGTGTGACACCTGCATTCTGGCGACCCGATTGTCTCGCAATGATGCTCTTGCTTGCGCGTGGTTGTTTGTTTTTCCCTCTAGACGCCAGCGACATCCTTCATTGAGCGCGTTGTTCTCGCCTGTGCGTGGGCCACATCTCTGACTGAAATTGTGGCTGCCGCTTAGGCGCCAGCGACGTCCTTCATTGAGAATGTCGTTCTCGCTTCGGCGCCAGCCTAATATCTGATTGGAAATGTTGCTGTCGCCTAGGCGCCGGCGATATCCTTCATTGAGCATGTCGTTCTCGCCTTGGCGCTGGCCAGATCTCGGATTCAAAATGTGGCTGTCGCCGAGGCGCTGGCGACATCTTTTATTGAGCATGTCGTTCTCGCTGTGGTGCCTTTCACATGTCTGATGCAAAATGCTGCTGTCGCACAGGCGCCAGCAACATCTTTCGTTGAGCATGTCGTTCTCGCTGTGGCGCCGGTCACATGTCTGATGAACAATGTGGATGTCGCCCAGGCGCCAGCCACATCTTTCAATGAGCATGTCGTTCTCGCTGCCAACACGCAATTCTGATCCTCCGCCCTCCCCCCCGCTCCTACCACATTCCCCTCGTCCTGGCCTGTGTCTTGTTGGCGCCACCCGCCTCTGTCCCATGAGGGCTGGCGGGAGCGCCTGCAGGCCGGTTGGGGTGGAACGTTGGGCTTCCACGCTCGTCGGCGGCTGGGGTAATGACCCTCGCGCACGGCCCCCGGGGCCAGAGCCATCTTGGCTCTGGCGGCTGCGCGGAAAGCCGTGCTCCTGGCGGCCATGGCGGTCACCCTACGCGTGAGCACCTCGGACAGCAGGAGGGAGCTTTGCGCGCTAGGCGCGGACCTGTGGTGGAGGTCCAAGGACTGCCGTCGTCGTCGCCGTCGGGCGGGCGATTGCGGCGGATCTCCCAGGGCCTTCTAAGGGCTGCTGGGGGCCCAAACCGGGAGCCAGCTGGGGGCGCCCTCGTCGGGCGGAAGGCCACGGGGGGGAAGTGCAGGGGGGGGGGGAACGCACTCGATTCCAGCTCCCTTCTGCGCCAAAGTGGCACTTCGAAGAGGTCCCTGGGGTCCTTTTGGGCCACTTTCCCACCGTTTCTGGTCGCCCCGCGTTCAGTGCCCCGTCGTCGTCGTCGTCGTCGTCGGCGTCGGCGTCGGCGTCGTCGTCGTCGTTGTCGTCGTCGTCGTCGTCGTTCGTTTTCGTCGTCTTCGTCGTCGTCGCCGTCGTCGTCGCCGCCGTCGTCGTCGTCGTCGTCGCTTTGTCGTCGTCGTCGTCGTCGTCGTCCGTCGTCCGTCGTCCGTCCCCCGTCGTCCGTTGTTGTCCATCGTCCGTCGTCCGTCCGTCGTGCGCCCGTCGTCGCTGGTCGTTGTCGTCGCCCCGCTAGCATCCTACAGTGGGGACGTCTGGCGCCGCGTCGGGCACTGCCCTGGGCCGCCTTGGAGGCGCCGCGCGCGCAGCTGCCCGGGGGGGGGGGTGTGAGCGCTCTCTCCCTTGGCGGGGGACCGTGGTCTGCGGCTTCTGGGGCACCCCGGAGGCCAGGGCTGTGGGTCAGGCCATGGGGGCAGGGAATCGGCGGCGAGCCCGGGGGGGAAGTGCGCAGGAGAGGGCCTTTTCAGGAGGCTCGAAAGAGAGTCTCTCAGAGGCGCGAGGGGCTCTGAGAAGTGCAGCCGCCTTCCGAGGGAGCCTTCTCCTTCTCACTTGCCCCCTCACTCGCCGCCGACTGGGGCACCCCGAAGGCCAGGGCCGTGGGTCAGGCCATGGGGACCAGGGAGACCATCGAGATCGCCGGCAATCGGCCGAGCTTCGCGCGTAGATGCTCTGCCATGTGAGCGTTTTTGTTTCCTGCCCAGGGTGGCGCTTGCTGACCAGGCCCCCTTCCCCCACCGGGGAGCAACGCTACCGATCGTGGGGGGGGGGGGCGCCTGGACCCCCTTCTCTAAATGCTGGGGGGCAATGTGCCAGCGGTGCGGACGCACCCTGGCGGGTACGCGCCGCGACCGCCGTTACCGTCGCCCTCCCGCCTGAGTCCCCCCGGGTAACGACCGTTATCCAGGATAGAAACAGCCAACGGTCACCAGCAAGACCATCGAGATCGCCGGCAATCAGCCGAGCTGTGCGCGTGTATGCTCAGCCCTCACCGGCCTGCTCTACGCCGTTTCTTCCACGCCTGAGCGCTTGCCCCCCCCGCGCTGCCGCCCCTCGTCTTTGTCCTCCCTCCTGCACGCCAGTCGATTCGCCTTTGGGATGCCCCGAGTAGCCACACGCTGGCGCGGACTGCCCCTGGCTCGCCGCAGACGAACAAAAAGGTATGCTCAGCCCTCTCGCCTCTCCTCCTCATCATTGTTTCACCTTGGGCGCGGCGCACAGCACACCGTTGCTGGCGGCTCTCGCGTGCGCTGTGCCCCACGCAGGCCTCCATCGGAGATGCGGCTTGGAAGCAGTCGGCCGTGTCGTCGGGAGGACTGGTAGAGCACCTGGGGTCCAGAGTGAAAAGGAGTCCTTTTTGAAGTTCTTTTGGGGCCCTTTTGGCCGTTCCTGCATATCTCCTGGAGCTTCCTCGAAGCCGTCCGGGGGGTCTCTCGGGGTTCTCTCGGGACCCTCTTGTTGGTAGTCCCCAAACGTGGTGGTGACAACCGTGTTCCAAAACCCAGCGGTGACTTTTTGGGGGATTCTAGGCCACCACCTGATACCTCACCACCTGGTTTGGGGGCTCCCAGTTTGGGGGCTCTCTGGGGCTACCTTGGGGCTCCTCTGGGCCGTGTGTAGCCCGCTTGGGTCGTCGCGGGCCCGTGATAAAGCAGTATCGGGGTTCTCTCCGGGCCCTCTCGGAGCCCTTGAGGCCCTTCCTGGAGCGACCTTCGGACCTTCGGCCGGCTGTCGCGATCTGGGGTCCGACGAGGCGAGCGTACGAAGAACACGACGCCCGCGCCTGGACCCCTACACAGGCCACTCGTGGAACGAGTGCAGGGCCCAATGTGGAACCCAAAGAACTTTTGGGAATCCAGGCGACCACGGGGAAGTGCGGCACACAGGGCGTGGTTTGTGTGTGGGGCAGCTGCAGGGATTGGTGCCCACTGGGGTCCAAGCAGCCGCGGGAAGCAGTCACGGGGAAGTGCGGCACACGGGGCCAGTAGGGGGGTGGGGGGGAAAGTGTCGGGATTCTAAGCAGCCCTTGGGAAGCGAAGTGCTGCCAACAGGGCCAGTGTGGTGTGTGTGTATGTGTATGTGTATGTGTATGTGTGTGTGTGTGTGTGTGTGTGTGGACGGGGGGGGGAGGGGGCAGGTATGAGGATCAGCAGGAACACAGGCGCGTCCAAGCAGCTACGGGGAAGTGCGGCCAACAGGGCCAGTGATGTAGGGGAGGGTGATGTGGGGGAGGGACTGCGTACGTATCCACAGAAGCCCATGGGGTTCCAAACAGCCAGATGGAGTGCTTCCAACATAACGGACCGCTGCCGCGGGGAAGTGCTTCCAACAGAATCAGGGGGGGGTACTGCACATGCATTCATGGGAACCCATAAGGGTCCGAGCAGCCACGGGGAATTGCGGCCAACAAGACCAGTCGGGCAGGCGGGGGAGAACGTAGTGGCATCCATCACACGGCCATCCGTGTAAAGCCAAACTGAAAGGGGTCCAAGCTGCCACCGCAGAGTGCCAGCACGGCCAATTTCTTAGAACCCAAGTAGGAGCAAGTACAGCCAGGTGAATAACAGCGTAATTGAGGGAATCGCAGTTTAAATGGTGTTTGACAATTTTCGCCTTTTGTGATCCCCTTTCTGAGCCTCTTGGGACAATGTTTTGGGCGTCCTGGGAGCATCTGGAACCGTCTTGGGACCATCCTGGGCTGTCTGAGAGCATTCTTGGGCAACTCGGACCGTCTTGGGGCATCTTGGCCGACTCCGAAGCCATGTTGAGTCGCCTTGTTGGCGTCTTCGGGGGTGGAACTCTTTGTGTAGCATGTGGGTGGCCTTACACGCCTTTGGGGGGCCTGTCGGGTGCCGGCGTGATGGGCCGAAGGGCTAGTGGAACGCTTCTCGCGGGAGCCTGCAGAGCTGAAGGGTTCGGCACGCTGGGCACCCCTTCGGTGAACCGAGAGAGGGCGACGGATGGAAGACCGCTCCAGCGAATCACCGCCGTCCCCTGCCGTCTGGAAGCGCCGTACAGCGGTGCTGGTGGACAGCGTGTTACCCGAGCGGTCGGGGAAGCCACTGGGGAGAACACTCGGGGAGGGGCTTTCTGGAGCCGTCTTGGGGGTTCTTTTCGGACCATTTGAGCCTTCTCGGGGCCTCCCGGAGCTCTGCCCGATCATCCTGGGGCTGTTTGGGCCGTCTTGGGGCGCTCTTGGGCCGTCTGGCGCCTTCAGGGGCTCTGGGCTGGGCTGTTTCGGGGACCTCTCGGAGGCCTCTGGGGCCATCGTGAGGCTTTCTTGGGACGTTTTGGGTCCGTCGTGGGCTCCCTTTTGCGCCGTCTGGGCCCAGCCCTGGTGGCTCGTTGGGCAGACTTGGACTCTGAAGACTAGGAAGGCGAGACCACGAGAACAAAAGTCAAAAGAGCCAAAGGACATACGTGAATATTGCTTCTCGAGGCCCTCCTGGGAGTCCTCTTGAAGCCTTCTGAAGTCGTCTTGTCGTCTTGGAGGGCTCGTGGGCTGTCTTGAGGCCATCTTGGGCCGTCTTCGAGGCCTCTTGGCCCGTCTTGGCGATTTCTTGAGTCATCTTGGCGGCAATGGTGGGACTGGTTTGGGCCGTCCTGGACACCATTTCGGGCAATCTTAGCCGCCTCTGCGACGAGTTATGGTAGTTTTGTGTTCTTGTCCTGGGCATTCTGGGTGGCAGGCGGATCGGGCCGAAGACCACCAGGAACCTCCCGGAACGGCCGAACAGGACAGTGCTCCAAAGTCCGGCGCGCCAAGCACACCTCCGACAGGTTACCGGGGTTGCGGATAGGGTTGCCTTCGGCCCATCCCACCACCATGCCTTTGGAGTTGTCCTGGTGTGGTTGAGTGCGGGAAGTCTGGGGCGCCTTGCCCAGCGCACCCTCAGAGGCCAATGTCATGGCCTACCCTCGCGCCCGTAGTCCATTGGGGCCCCTTATGTCTCGAGTAAGAACACTGCACAAACACAACCTTTCGGAGTTCCGCACGGATTTCTTCGACCGAAGCCGCTCTGCCCCCTGGCGGCGCTCCCCCGCCGTGCTCTGTCCCTCTGCTCATACTGTGCCCCAGTCAGGAGGTGAAGGAGGCCGTGAGGAGCAAGACCGGGATCTCCGTTCTCTCGCAGAGGCTCTACGCGGGCGCCGACGAGCTCCCGCTCGGGCAGAGTCTGGAGGACATCTTCCCTGGTCTGGCCGACTCGCGAACGCTGAGCCTCAGGCCAGGGGCGTCCAACAGGGGGTGAGGAATTGGGGCTCGCGGGTGTGATGGCCAGGGCCGTGAGATCACCCAGATTACGTGGCTATTATTATTATTATTTTTCTTATTCTTCGTCGTCTTCTTCTAAGGATTATCAGTACCATTATTGTCACTACTACTGTTAGTATTTGTAGTAGCTGTGATTCTTCATGTTATGCTTCGTATCATTATATGTGAAAGAGCGTTTTCTACCGCTGCTGGCGGAAAACTGGGGGGAGGTCACTACGGGTTCACCCCCCCCTCGTCCCTCCGGAAAACCGAGGGGGGGTCACTCCCGGTTCGAACCCCTCCCCCCACCCCCAGTCCATCATGAAAAGGGGGGGGTCTTTACAGGTTCGACCCCCCCCCCTTGAAAACTGGGGGGGGGTCACTGCCGGTTCGAACCCCCCCCCCTCGAACACCGGGGGGGGGGTGCGGACAGTGAGGGGACGGGGTTGGTATACCTATAGGGACAGTGGTGAGGGGACAGCGGGACAGTGGTGGGGACAGTGGGACAGTGCTGGGGACGGTAGTGGTGGGGACAGTGGTGAGGACAATGGTGGGAACAGTGGGGACACTGGGACAGTGGTGGGGACGGTGGTGGTCGGGACAGTTGTGTGGGGACACTGGGAGTGTGGTGGAAACAGTGGGACAGTGGAGAGTACAGTGGTGGTGGGGACAGTGGTGAAGGCGGTGGCGAGGACGACGGTGGGACAATGGGACAGAGGTACAGTGGGGACAGTGGTGGGGACAGTAGGGACAGGGGTGGGGACAGTGGGACAGCTCAGTGGGACAGCGGAGGAGTCAGTGGGACAGTGGGGACAGTGGGGATAGTCGGGCAGTGGCTGGGGCCGTGGAGAAACTGGGGAGAGTGGAACCGTGGTGGGTGCGGACGGTGGTAGGGACCGGGAGTCTTTTGCTGGCGGTGAGGTGGGGGGGAGGGGTTCGAACCGGTAGAAACCCCCCTCCGGTTTTCGAGAGGGGGGGGTCGAGCCGGTAGTTAGTGACCCCATCCCGGTTTTCGAGGGTGGGGGTGGGTTAGGGGAGGGGGGGGGTTGCCGGGGGAGGGGAGGGGGGGGGGGTCCAGCGGGGGAGGGGGATTGTCGGAGGGGGGGGGACCCCCGGGTTCCAGAGAAAGAGGGGGGGGAGTTTTCCACAGTAAAGCGGCGGTGGATCACGCTCTGTCTTATATGTATATGTATTAACAGTCTCAATCGTATTATTACTATTTTCTGCTCGTCACCTTATTATGCATCCTTCTTTTTCTTGCCATTGATCTTATCCTTCTTCACATCCGCTGGCCCCCGTTCGTCCGCGCACGTGCCCTCTGGCCATGCTGCGCACGCTTCTCTTCGGCGCATCCGGCCAGGCTGGAGCGCCGCAGCCTGGAGCAGGGGCAGTGGCTGGAGCGCGTCGGCGGGGACGTTGCCGGCACAGCGCTGCGCGGGGCGCCGGCCTGGGTGCGTGCGGACCGCGAGGTGGCCGCGACGGCGCTGCGCGCGAGCTGGCGCGCCTACGGGTTCTTGGCGGACGAGCTCCGTGCCGACCCAGAGTTTGCGCGGCTCGCGGTGAGCATGTGGGAAAGGAGAAGGAGAAGCGACACCAACACCACTAGGTCCGCGATTTCTCCCCGAGCTGGGGCTAGGGGGCGTCTCGAGCGAGATGGGGGACCACACAACCAGGGGGCTCCTTCTCTGGCTCCTCCCTCTGGTTGTCACTGGTGGTGTTGGTGTCGGTATTCCATGTACCTATGAGCAGGGGCCGCGACGAGGGGCTGGCCCAGGGGGTGGGGGCATCGACATCCGATCGCGCACTCAGCGCCGATGTGGGCCAGGGTTCCCCCCCCCCAGGAGCGCGCCGCTTCGCCATCTGGAGCCATGGCCGATCAATGGGCAATGCATCGCCGATTCCAAGTCAGCCCGTAGCCACCTGTCGTTCCCCCATCAGGTGAAGGGGGACCTGCGGGCGCTGGAGCACGTCCCCGCGGCGATCTGGGAGGAGCGGGACTTCGTCCTGGACATGACGCGGCTGGACTGGCACAGGCTCCCGACCGCCATCATGGACGGGATCTCAGACGACCGGGATGCCATGCTGATCGGGGCGCGCAGCGACTGGAGGATCCTCGAGCACGCCAGCCCGCGCCTGAAGGCCGACAAGGAGCTGCTCCTGGAGGCGATCCGCCAGGCCGGATGGTCCGCTGCCTCTTGGCTGGTCACGGACGAGACGCGAGAGCTCCTCCGCGGCGACAAGGAGGCCATGCTCGCAGCGCTGGAGGCGGACTGGAGGGAGCTGGAGTTTGCCTCCCGCGAGCTCCGCGGCGACAGGGACGTCGCCCTTGCTGCCGTGCGGCAGGACTGGCGGGCGCTGAGGTGGATCTCAGAGGAGCTGCGGAGCGACCTGGAGGTGATGCTGGCCGCGGTGCAGCAGGACTGGTGCGCCCTGTCCACGTCGCTGGAGGAGTTCCCGCTGCACCGGGACGTGCTGCTGGAGATGGTGCGCAGAAACTGGCAGATCTGGGCGCAGTTGCCCGCGCGCTTGCGCGCGGACGAAGAGCTCGCGGCAATGGCTGTGGCGCAGTCGTGGCAGGTGCCGCAGTGCGTACTGGTCGTCCCCTAAGATGATGATGGAGATGATGATGATGATGATGATGATGATGATGATGATGATGATGATGATGATGATGATGATGATGATGATGATGATGATGATGATGATGATGATGATGATGATGATGATGATGATGATGATGATGATGATGATGATGATGATGATGATGATGATGATGATGATGATGATGATGATGCTGATGCTGATGCTGATGCTGATGCTGATGCTGATGCTGATGCTGATGCTGATGCTGATGATGCTGATTGTGATGCTGATTATGATGCTGATTATGATGTTGTTGCTGATGCTGATGCGGATGCGGATGCGGATGAGGATGAGGATGAGGATGAGGATGCGAATGAGGATGAGGATGAGGATGAGGATGGGAATGAGGATGAGGATGCGGATGAGGATGAGGAGGAGGAGGAGGAGGAGGAGGAGGAGTTTTGAGCGGCAGTGGGGAAGTGTGCTGGCTCCCGATCACCGTGCTCGGCCGGTCGGGCCCGCAGCCCGCCCACGGAGCAGGAGCACGAGGAGGAGGAGGAGGAGGAGGAGGAGGAGGAGGAGGAGGGGGAGGGGGGGGGGGACACCTCGGCCGCACCGCAGGAGGCGAACGGGGAAGGAGGATGAGGAGGAGGAGGAGGAGGAGGAGGACGACGAGGAGGAGAACCAGTGGTAACCAAATAATCATCAACGATGATGACATAATTTCTCCCTCCAAGCTCCCTCTTCATAGGCCCCTACAAGGGTTGGGCTCATTTCCACTGAGGTCACTGCCTCGTTGGAACACAACCGTTTGAAGACCCTGAAGCGTGCCATAATGTTATTCTCACGGATCAACCTGATTGTTGCGTCTTGGCGATCCTGAATCGTGCCAGAACGCCATTCTTGGGACTTCAACACCACGAATCAATGTATTGCTGCATCCTCATAATCCTGAGCCTTTCAAAAGCACAATGTCTCGCACACGTCGACCGTGGGAAACCGCGAAACTCTTGCAACTTTTCAGAAGGAATGTGCGCCGCGATAACGCGAGAGGCGAGAGCCACATTTCGGAAACGACCCGCCCTCAATCCGCGCAGCTCGTGCAAATGCTTAAAACGAATGTGCTCGGCTGCTCGGCGCTAAGGCGAGAGCCACATTTTGAACACGACCCGCCCTCGATCTGTGAAGCTCTTGCATGTTTTGAGGAAGGAATGCGCTCGGCGCTAAGGGGATAACCATATTTTGGAAATGCGGCGCTAAGGCGAGAGCTACATTTTGAAAACGGCCCGCCCTCCAACTGTGAAATTGTTGTCAATGTTTAGGTTCAGGGTCGTACATAGTGGGAATTATCAGGCGAAACGCCCAGCCCGCCCTTTCGACTGGCCTTTGGGGTTGTGACAGGGAGAAGTTAGTTCTACGGAAAAACACGTGTTCTACCGCTGCTGACGGAAGCCTTCCCTCCTTCTCCATAGGCCCCTACAACGGTTCATCTCCATTGATGGATCTGCCTCGTTAGAAGACACCCGTTAGAAGACCCTGAAGCATACCAAGACATTGTTCTCGGGATTCCCACGCCATGGATCAACCTGACTGTTGCGTCTTGACGATCATGAATCGTGCCAAAACGCCATTCCTAGGACTTCAACACAGAGAACCAACGTAACTTTTGCTCACGCATAATTATGAATCCTTCGAAAGAGCGTGCTCTACCGCTACTGGCGGAAAACCGGGGGGGGCCACCGGGGGTTCCCAACCCGTCCCCCTCGAAAACCGGAGGTGTCCAACCCCCCGGCCCCCCCTCGAAAGCCGGTGGGGGTCACTACCGGTTCGAACCCCTTGCCCCCCCCAGTCCAGCATGAAAGGGGGAAGGGGAGTCACTACCGGTTCGAACACCCCCCCCTTCGAAAACCAGGGGGGGTCACTACCAGTTCGAACCCCCCCCTCGCCGCCTGCAAACGATTCCCGCTCCTCGGGACAGTTGGACAGTGGTGGGGATACCCAGACAGTGCTTGCGACCCAACGCGGCCACGAGGACCCGGTCCCTCACGACAAAACGTGCTTCAAGAAAAACATTAGAACAAGACGCTGTACAAGATGAGGTCGAAGCATAACACGGCGGCCGCAAGGACGCGATAGCGAGGCGTAGGCCCGAGGGCCCTGACGCCCCGCGCCCGGCCCCGCAGGGGCCGTGCCAGTGGTAGGAGATGACCCCGTGGGGTCCGGCCTGCCGGCCAAAATGCGACTCGAACGCGTCCAACGTGACTGAAGGCGCCGATCCCGGAGAGACCACAATACGGCCACTCTCTGACCCGTGAACGTCTCCATAAAGGATCACCGGTTTAGCCCCCCCCTTCCATGGTTGTCCAATTGTTGACCGGCCAAAGCCCATAGGCAAGTGCACAAGGCCTGCATGTAGAACACGAAATAATGCCACCGCCGGCAGTAGCTCCCACCACTGGGAGAGATCGAACTCAAGGGTCGTCTCGTCCCCCACGGCCGCTGTAAGTGTCGTGAGGCGAGGAGTTTGAAATACGAGGAGGAGCCCACTCCTCGGCGGCCAACAGCACTGCCTTCGGCACGATGAGCAACGTGGCCAGGCTCCCACCTCGGTGAAACAAGCTTCGGTTATCACGAAGCTGTAGGGGAGTTAGTCGATACAGGGGTGAGCCTCGTTAAGCCTCCTGTACAACTTGCATCGCTTCTCTTGCCACCGTCAGAGGTTCCCCACTGGCAATATACCCGGACAGTCGTGGGGACAGTGGTGCGGGACAGTGGGACAGTGGTGCGGACAATGGTGGGGACGGTGGTGGTAGGGACAGTGGTGACGGGACAACGGGACATTGGTGGGGACAGTGGGACAGTGGTGAGGACGGCATTCGTGGGGACAGTGGTGAAGGCGGTGTTGAGGACGGTGGTGGGGCAGTAGTACAGTGGGGAGAGTGGTGGGGACAGTGGGACAGTGGTGGGGACAGTGGGGACAGTGGGACAGCACAGTGGGACAGCGGCGGGGACAGTGTGGACAGTGGGACAGTGGTGGGAACAGTGGGGACAGTGGGACAGTGGTGGGGACCTTGGGGAAAGTGTGGAGAGCGGGACCGTGGTGGGACAATGGTGGGGAGAGTGGGGACAGTCAGACACTGGTGGGGGCGCTGGTGGGGACAGCGGGAACAATGGTGGGAACAGTGGGGGCAGTGGGACAGTGGTGGGGACAGTGGTGGTGGGGACAGTGGGGAGGGCGGTGCCGAGGACAATGGGACAGAGGTGCAGCAGGGACAGTAATGGGGATAGTGGGGAATGGTGGGAACAGTGGGACAGCTCAGTGGGACAGAGGCGTGGACAGTGGGACTGTGGGACAGCGGGGGCAGTGGGGACAGTGGGACAGTGGTGGGGACCGTGGGGGAAGTGGGGAGAGTGGGACAGTGGTGGGAACAGCTGCGGGGACAGTGGGGACAGTGCGACAGTGGTGGGGGCACTGGTGGGGACAGTGGGGACGTTGGTGGGAACAGTGGGGACAGTTGTGGTGGGTGGTGCTCGGGACAGCAGGGGGGGATGTGGTGCGGACAGTGGTGGGGACCCGGGAGTCGTTTGCCGGCGGTGAGCGGGGGGGGGTTCGGACCGGTAGTGACTCTCCCCTGTTTTTCTGGAGGGGGGAGAAGGGGGGGGTGGTTCGAATCGGTAGTGATCCTCTCGGTTTTCCAGAGGAGGGGGGAGAGGGGTTAGGGGGGGGGCTTGCTCGGGGAAGGGAAGGGAGTCCAGCAGGGGGGGGAGTTTTCGAGGGGGGAGGGTAGACCCCCCGGTTCCGGAGGAAGAGGGGGGGGAATTTTCCTTTAGAGCGGCGGTGGATCACGCTCTCTTGAACAAATTGTAAACGAATTTCGCGGCGCTAAGGCGAGAGCCACATTTTGAAAACGACTCGCCCCAATCCGTGAAACTCTTCAAGCATTTTGTAAGACGAATGCGCGCCGCGCTAAGGCGAGGGCCATGCTTTGAAAACGACCCGCCCTTAGTCAGCGAAACTCTTGCAAAGTTTTAAACGAAGGTGCGCCGCGCTGAAGCGAGAGCCACATTTGGGAAACGACTCGCCCTCAATCCGTGAAGCTCTTGCACATGTGTAAAACGAATGTGTCTCGCGCTGAGGCGGGCGCCACATTTTGAAAACGACCTCGCCCTCAATCCGTGAAACTCTTGAACATCCGCGCTAAGGCGAGAACCACATTTTGGAACCCACCCGCCCTCAATCCGACAAATTCTTGCACATTCTTAGAACGAGTGTGCGCCGCGCCAATGCGAGGGCCACATTTTGAAAACCACCCGCGCTCCATCTGCGAAGCGGTTGCCAGGGAGAAGTTATGTAGAAGGAAAAGGAATGGAGGACGAGGAGGAGGAGGCGGTGAAGGAGGAGGAGGAAGAGGCGGAGGCGGCGGCGATGGCGGCGGCGGCGGCGGAGGAGGAGGAGGAGGAGGAGGGGGAGAAGGAGGAGGAGGAGGAGAAGGAGGAGGAGAAGCGCCCGAGGAACGCTGGGGGTGGAGGAGGAGGAGGAGCATGGAGGAGGAGGAGGAGGAGGAGGAGGAGGAGGAGGAGGAGGATGTGAAGGAGGAGCGAGTATGAGGACTCGTCTCTCCGCCCTCTCCGAAAAACCTTCGGGGGACCGCCAGGACCAGCCGAGAGTGGCGGACGCACGCCCGAGGATCTCCGACTGCCGCCCTAGACGCCCGCAGGCCCCCGAGAGCCGCCGAGAGCGGCCGACGACGTCCGAGCGCCGCCGAATCAGACACCCTCGCGTCGCGAAGATCGGCGGCGCGCCCGGGGGGCATCAGTCATCAGACATCCTCGCGTCGCGAAGATCGGACATCCTCGCATCGCGCATGTCGCCCCCGAGCTGAAGGATCGGAGTCGGCGAGGGGGGCGAACAGCACAAGGGGGAACAATACATGCATCCAGGGGCGCCGATGGGCTATGCCTTCGGCGAGGCTCCGCGGCAAGTGTGTGTAATGCCCGCCCCCTGGGCTATTCTCGGCAGCGTGCCTTGGGGGGGAAGCGAGGAGGAGCAGGCCTTTTCAGAAGACTGCGGGTCTTCTCAGAGGCCCCTCTGGCTTTTGATGAGAAGTTTTCCGTGTCTTCGGGAAAAGGCTTGGACAACTTATCAGAAGGCCCGAGGCCTGCATAGCCTTCTGAGAAGGCCCGCCCCGTCTTACTTCCCCTCCAGGCTCGCCGCCGAGAAAAAAACACAGCGGGAGGTGTTCAGCAAGTTTGGGTTTCCCGGGGCCCCATGCTTGGCCCCGAGGCCGTACGAATCGGGATGGAACTTGGTCCCCTGGAAGGGGTCCAGACCTCTGTGGAGCCTCGTTGCGAAACAATCGCGACGTCGGATGTCTGGAGACACGGCCGTGAACAGCCGCGGGCGGGGCCGCAACGGTCGAAAACAGCCGCGGCAGGCTTCGCCGTGTAGCTGCACAGACCCTGCACAGAGTGCATGCAATTCTCACTGATGCTCTGCATTGTCCGTCCTGCGCCTTCATTTTCAGCCCGAGGGGGCCGACTCAGGGACGCAGCTTGATGGGTCGGGCTGAGGGCAACCGCGTGCAGTCGGACCGAGGTAGAACATCGAGGTCGGCTCTGGGAGGGTACCTTGTGTTCTTCGTGCTTGTTGGATGTTCTTGTGCATCTTGGGGGAGGGTACCCTCGAATGGTCGTAAGGTTTGGAGTGTATTGGCCAGCGGAGGGCCCCATGTCCTTGAAGGATGCTCTCTTTCCTAGGTCAGACTGCACGTGTTGAGCAAACATACAACCGCGGCAGGCGCTGCAGTACTGCCTCCCGGAGCAGCTGGCCGATCGCGGTCTCGCGCGCAGCGCGCTCGCGCAGAGCGCCCTCGCGTTCCTGCTGCTAGACGCGAGCCTCGGGGGCGACAAGGAGCTCGTGTTGATGGCGGTGAGGTGCGCGCGCACGCCTCTGCGGCCGCGGTGGCGCCGAGGATGGAGGAGGAGGAAGCGAGGAAGGTGGAGGAGGAGGAGGAGGAGAAGGAGGAAGAAGAGGAGGGGGAGGAGAAAGATAAGGAGAATGAGGAGGAGGAGGAGGAGGAGGAGGACGAGCAGGTTGAGGACGAGGAGGAGGAGGATGAGGAGGAGGAGGAGGAGGAGGAGGGGGATTAGGACGGGGAGAAGAAGGAGAATGAGGAGGAGGACGAGGAGGAGTAGAGGGAGGAGGAGGAGGAGGAGGAGGAGGAGGAGGAGGAGGGAGAGCCACATTGCGAAAAGAAATCGCCCTCCATCCGTGAAGCCCCTGCAATAATTTAAGACAAACGCGCGCGGCGCTAAGGCGAGAGCCACAGTTTGAAAACGACTTGGCTGCCGTGAAGCTGTTGCAAATTCCAAGCGTCAGGATCATCAATGGTGAGGAGGTATCAGGCGAAAGGCCCGCGCTGCCCTGCCGAGCCGTTTCGGGGTGTGGCAGGGATGAGCTGATTATGAGGGAGGGATGGTGGGGGAGGGGAAGGAGGAGGAGGACGAGGAGGAGGAGAAGGAGGAGGAGCAGGAGGAGTGAGAGGAGGAGGAGGAGGAGGAGGAGAGAGAGGAGGAGGAGGGGGATGAAAATGAGAAGAGCGAGGTGGAGGGGGAGAATGAAGAGCAGGGAATTGAGAAGGAGGAGGTGACGGGGAAGGAGGAGGATGGAGGAGAAGGGGGAGGATGGGGAGGAGGAGAAGGGGGAGGAGAAGGAGGAGGAGGACAAGGAGGAAGAGAGTGGTGGATGACTAGGATGATGCTGGTGATGATGATGCTGATGCTGATGCTGATGCGGCTCATGATGATGCTGATGCTGATGATGATGCTGACGATGATGCTGATGATGATGCTGATGATTACTATTATCCTGCTCACGCTGATGCTGGTGATGTTTAAAAGGATGATGATTACGATTATGATGATGGTGATGACGATGACGATGAGGAGGAGGATTGTGATGGGTATGGTGATGATTGTGATGATGCTGACGATGGTTATGATGACGAGGATGAGGACGAGGCTCATGATGCTGATGATGTTGATGATGATGATGCTGATGCTGATGATGCTGATGGAGGAGGAGGCCTGCGCAGAGTCTCCTTGCAGAGTAGTGGGTCCCCCGTGTCACCCACTCGGTGGCGACCCACCCTCTTCGAGCGCAGGACCCACCTCCGCGACCCCTTTACGCTCACGTCCCAGCGGAGGTGGCTGCGCTGGGATACGGTGCCCCCGGGCCCACGGCAAACTTGGCAGGGCACCAGGCGTTGCACGCCTGGGCACCAGGGGTTGCAAGCCTGGTTTTTCTTGGAATGTCCAGCCACCTGAGGACCTTCCACACCAAAGGAACGGTATCGTCTAAGAGTCCTCTCGTCGGGTCTGTCTGCGTGAGTGTGTTTGCGTGTGTGTGTGTGTGTTTGTGTGTGTGTGTGTGTGTGCATTCTGTACGCTGCGTGATCTTGTCCAGCCCGTGCACTCCCGCCTGACTTGACCCACGCGGCGCCGCCGCGCGTGCGTGGCTTTGACGCCAAACTGTGCGTGTGTGGGTGTGTGGGGATGTCGATGACAATGACAATGACGATGACGATGCTGCTGATGATGATGATGATGATGCTGCTGATGATGATAATGCTGATGCTAATGCTGATCTTTCTGATCATCGTGATGACGAAGACGATGATGATGATGCTGATGATGATGATGATGATGATGCTGATCATTATGGTCATCGTGATGGCGATGATGCTGATGCTGATGAGGATGATGATTATCAACATTATGATGTTGCTGCTGCTGTTGATGATGATTGTGGTACTGTTGATGGTGATGGTGGTGGTGATGATGGTGATGCTGATAGTGATGGTGATGGTGATGGTGATTCAGATGGTGGTGGTAGCCATGACGATTATCATGATCATGGTGATGATGACGACAATGGTCATGGTGATGGTGATGCTGATGGCGATGCTGCTGATGCTTTTGGTGACGGTGATGATGATGCTGCCGATGAAGATGTGCATGATAAAAATGATGCTGCTGCTGATGATGATGGTGATGATTGATGAGGAGGACCCGAATGATGATAAGGAGGAAGAACGGCCAGTTCTTGGTCTACCTCTTCTCTTCCCCTGCATCTTCGTGGCAGTAAGGGGGGCGCAGGACAGTTGCGTGCGCCTCTCTCATCGTCGCCGCCGCTTCCGTCGCCATCATCATCGTCGTTGCCACCGCTGTTGCCACCGCACTATCGCCGTCGTTGGCCGCCTCCGTCGTCGCTCGTGCCGTCGCAGTCGCCGTTGTCGTCGTCGTCGCCGCCGTTGCCGCAGCTGCCGCTGTCGGCGCTGGCGTTTGCGCAGCCGTCGGTGCTGTCGTCGTCATTGTTTCCCATCCAGGCAAAAGGGCAGCATGCTGGCGCATGTCGCCTCCGAGCTGAAGGATCGGAGGGGACGACGGGGCCGAATAGCCCAGGGGGAAGCAACACATGTATCCAGGGGCGCCGATGGGCCATGCCCCCAGCGAGACTCTCCGGCGAATATGTGTAATGCCCGCCCCCCTGAGCTATTCTAAGTGTCGTGCCTGGGGGGGAAGTGAGGAGGAGCAGGCCTTGTCAGAAGGCGGCGGGGCATCTCGGAAGTCCTCGCGCCTTCGCAACAGTTTCCTGAGAAAGCCCGAGCATTTCCAAGCCTTCGGGGAAGGCTTGGAACACTTCTGAGAAGGCCCGAGCACTTTCGAGCCTTCTGAGCAGAGACGCCCCATCTCACTTCTCCCCTGGGCTATCCACGGGTCGGACGAAAGGGTATGATAGGCAAACGGGAGGTTACGAAATCAGCTTCATGCAACTTGTTTCCGCCCCGCCGCCGGGCCCATTCCTTGATACATGGGTTCCTCCAGGCGCCAGGAGGCGCCAGGAAAACTGGCTTCGTGAGCTGATGTTCTACCCTACCCTTTGCTATCCTACCCGTTGTTCGCCCCGATATTCTCCCCCATCGTCGCCCCCAAGCCGAAGGACGACGCCGACGTCGTCTCGGCTGCGTTCGCGAGCGGTGATCCAGAGGTGCTTGCCCTGGCGTCGGAGGCCTTCCGCTCGGACTGCGCGGCCATGTCGGCGTTCCCCCCTTCAGGGGGAGGAGGAGGAAAGGGAAGAGGAAGACGCAGAGAGAGAGATAGAGAGAGGAAGTCAAGAGGAGAGGATTAGGATGAGGTGGAGGACGTGGACGTGGAGGGGGAGGATGGACAGGGATGACGAGGAAGAGGGAGGAGGAGCGGGAAGAGCAGGCTATCCTCCTCCTCCCCCGTTCGCAGGTTTGTGAAGAAAGATTCGAGGGCGCTGGCGCACTTGAAGGACAGCCTCCTCGAGAAGTCGGCGTTTGTGGAGCCTCTGGTGAACGACCCAGAGGTTAGGCGGCGACTACTAGCCCTCCTCCCTGCCCTCTCCTCATGCTTCCTCCCTCCATCCTCCTCGCCCCTCCCCACCTCGTCCTCCTCCGTCCCACCATCTTCCTCTCACCCATCCTTCTCCTCGTCGTCCTTCCTTGCCCTTCTGCGTCTTTCCGTCTCTATTTTTCCTCCTCCTTCCTCCCTTCTCCATCCGCCTAGCCCCCCCCTCCTTTTTTTGAAGCCGCTATCGGCGGCCCCGTCGGTGCGTTTGGCGGACACTGATGTCCTTCGTCAACACCTTGGTGCAGTGGGAGTCCAACTCGACGAGACGGCCACATATGAGGAGGTGCGACAGGCTGCCAACAGGCTCCTCACGTGGAGCCAAGCACCGCAGCGCCAAGTTGTTACCCCTTTTTAAGTGGATGATCGTTGCTGTCATGATTATTGCATCAAAGATCATGGCGATGGCTATTACCAACACAGGGAGTACGTGTACAGCGAGTGCTCTCAATCTCATGTCGCATGATGAGGCGTCTTGCTATGGAGACGCACTCCGAAATTTCCCTCAACGCCACCTTCTGCTGGGCCAGGCTCAAGAAAAATCAATGGTCAAAGTCATGATGGTGACGGCTCTCACTATATTGCAAAAGGAGTTGCCACCACCATCAGTGTAGATAACACGAGGCCTCTTCTCGGGTATATGGAAGGTTGTAAGTCAGCAGTGGTCTTGGTTCAAGAGCACAACGCAGATGAAGCAGCACTACCTGGGCTAGAGAGAAGACTAAGTCAGCTCAGGTTTCATGGAAGTTTCGCGCCAGCGGTACGCACTGAGCTGGATGGCGCATCGTATGGGGTTACAGTGTTGGCTCTGGCGTATGTGACAGCGACGATGCCGCTAGGGCTCGACCATCCAGTTCTATATGATGGGAAAAATGGTTGCGGCGAAGGTATCCAGGGGCGCCCTACAGGCATAGTCGCTGTATCGGTTTATGTCAAGGATTCAGCTGGGCTGGATGAGCAGAATCAGGACATGTTGTATCGGCTCGTGTGCTACCTGGGCTGCCTCAGCGACATGGGGCAATGCTGGACATTTGGAGGTGATTGGAATATGTTGTCGGCAACTTTTGATGGACAGGCCTGGCTACAGCAGCTCAGAGCGATGTTCCTTGTCCCAACACAGACCACCTGTTTCACGACGAATGCATCAGAAAGCAGTGCGTACGACTATTTCGTGATTTCGGATAGGCTCTTCACGAAGGTATCTCCTCCCGAGGTACATGTTGCGGGTGGGCGACCAGTGCATTTTCCAGTTTCTGTCCCGATCATCGGTGGACGCAGGCAGGTATGGTTGCGAGTCCCGCAAGAGCCCAAGCAGCTGCCCAAAGGACCACATGTGGGCTGCTCGCGTCCTCCGCCGAAGTGGGGCGACACCATGAAGCTAGTGCTCATAGTGAGTAGGGACCCTGAGCTACGTCACGCATGGGATCTAGTGGTTTCGGGCATTGAGGTCGAGATCTTAGCATGTCGCGATTTGGTCTGGGATGCTGGAAGAGCCTATGCTGGCAGAGCGGGGCCCATCGTCGCCAAGTGCATGCACGCTAAATGGGACGCCAGACGCACACGGCAACAATATGGTCCCACGGCTAGGGCATGACGGGAGCACTTTGGGCAACACATGTCATACGTGTCAGAGCCTTCTGGATCAAGCTGGTATGCGCATACAGAAAAGAACATGGTATATATTGCACTTGAGCCAGGCTGCCAGATTATACTTCACCTTGGGCGACCGTGCCCATGAAGAGCACGATTGATGATGGATGGAATGAAGTTCGTAGGCGCAGGAAAGACCAGAACAATAAGGACGCTGGTGATGATGATCGTGGCCCAGTTGGACGACTGGCACAGTCAATGCAACAGGTGCTGGGCTTCCACCGGCGAATCTTGTTGCAGCACGATCGTGTGCAATGCCTGGAGCCAGAAGCGCGTGCTTTCTCTCAGGCTGAAGTTGCTACTTTCTCAGATCCTGGCTTTGAGCACAAGGCCCTTGGCATAATTGAGCGCGCTGGTGATTTCGCACAGAAGGTCCAACTTGCAAAGCGAGCAAGAATGAAAGAGTTGGGCCAGTACGGCGTTTTTGATTGGCGCTGGCAAGGCGCGCCGAGCTTCCAAGACCCAGGCGCTGGCGGCCACCGCCTCTTGCACATCTCGCGCGCAACCGTTGCGATTTGCCGACGACGAGACGTGGAGGTGGAAGGAGGTCTGGACGTGTCACGGCGCGAACTGCATGGAGCTACCTCAGGGGCCAGGGGGCTGGGACGAGTTGCCCTTCATCCAGGTCCAGGACATCAGATATGCTGCCTTGTCCTTCCCATGGCAGACCTCTATGGGCTACGTGAGGGTCCACCCCAGGAATCTCTGGTTCGCCTCGGACGAGGGACTAGCTGTCTTGGAAGCGCTTTACATGGCGCGCGAACGCACGCTGGCATGGCCATCACATCGCATCATAAATGAAGTGGCAAAAACTGCGCAGCCAGGTTGGGGGGGGGGGGGGGGGGCACGACTCATAACACTCATAGAACGTATGTTTAGAGTATGGTCGCGATTGCGTAGGCCCATATCAAAGACGTGGTTACGCGCGCGCATCCCAGTGCACACATGCGAAAATCGTAAGGCAACTCTACATATGCTGCATATGAGCACAACCTACAGGCTGAAGTAGCGCATCATTGAGGCGAGCATGCGATTACCATTGTAGTGGATGTGGAAATGTTTCGAGACGGTGCTATTTCCGGCGCTCGTGACGGAGGCGCAGAACATGTCATTCCCCTTTGACGCACGCGCAGCCTAGGGTCGATCGTGCATGTGGATGCTGGAGTATTCCGACCAGGGCGCTGCAAGGCATTCTTGCAGGCTGCACGCATGCCACGACGTTGTTGACGGTGCTGACATATCGAGCGGTTGAGAGAGTGCACACCATGCACAAGGACGCCATGCCACGCGCGCTTGTAGATGACAGCACGCCCCAGTGGACCGGCAACAACATGTCAGATGCAGCCAACTTGCAGCGCGCGGTGCACATGTTTAGCCAGGGCGCCGGCGAGTTAGGCATGCTCATCAAGATCGAGAAGTCAGGTTTCATGACGACTACGAAGAGGGCGAAGCAAGGTTTCCAAGGTAGAGCTCAGAAGTTGCGCCTCTCGGCCAACAAATGAATGAGAAACCTCGGACATGAGATGCCAGGGGTCCGTCAAGTTCGGAGGCAGGCGCAGGGCAGGATGAAGTCTCTTCGTGCTCGTCCCCCTCGCCCTCCGATGTTGCGATGAGGAGCGGGTGTGCAGGTCGGCGCTCTTTGGCGCACAGGACTGCCCCCTGCCGTTGGCCACGGCGCTGCAGTGGCAGGGGGGACCCCTTCGGAGCTGGCCAGTCTGCGAACTATTGCTGGCGCGCTTTGTGGACGTATCACTGGTCATACCTCGCTCGTGCCGGTTCTGGCTACACTAAAGGATAGAGCGTCTGATCCCATATTTCATGCAACGTTGGGGCCCCTAAAGGCCTACTGCAGCTTCGCATGGGACCAGAGGGCGTCACTGGGACGACTTCAATGGGGCTGGATGGCCTTACAAGACAAGTTGAAGAACAAGATGTCTTGGGATGGGGTCCGATGGCCCATGGAAGTTCTCGCGCTTACGCTTGCGCGATAGGATGGAGCATGAGCTCCAGCACGGCGATTGTTGATGACCAGGGCTATGTCTTCGACCTCCTGCACCTGCCTCCCAAGGCTGTCATTGAGTTTGCCCGACAAGGCGTGGAGCGCTGGCAGGCCAGGCAGATCTTGGCCCACCATCGAGACATGTGCTATGGACGTGCGAGTATATGGACCCGAGCGCTTCGCAAGTGTATTGGTGGGCCCAAGGCTGCCACAAACGAGTTCGAGATTTTCGGGGGCTCCCAGGGCGCTCTGGCCAGGTGGGTTCTGGGCGCGAGACGGGCAAAACCAGGCAGGATACAACGTATCGCCGCAATGCCCTTGGCGTCCTGCTGCACGGTCTTCTTTTGGTCGCTGTATATATGATTGCAATGGATTGCATGAATATTGTCATGCTGCTGATTTGAGATGGACTCCCAAGCCTAACACATGTAATGAGTATCTCAGAGATCGTGGGGCACCTGTTTTGGGACCTCCTGATTGGGGCAGGTTTGATTGCATCATGTGTATGCCTATGCACCCTGTGGAGCCCTCTAAGGTCTCCTGCGGGCTCGAGGTCCACAGAGGTGCTGGTGGGCCCCTTGAGGGGCCATGGCAGGCGGTGGGACGGGCAGAACAAGCTGCCCTTTTCTTTGCCCTGAACCTGCTGCAAGACGTCAGGCTGGTCGTGTCTGACTTGCCCAGCCTTGTCAAAGAAGGCACGAGCTGGGACCATGCCTTGCAGGAGGCTGGCGCCTCGTGCGCTGACCTGTGGAGGTAGATTCTTGCGATGCTGAGTTGCACGCGCGAGCACCCTCCCAAATCTTACTGGTGCCCAGCTCGCAAGACGGCGCAGCAGTTTATCGAGCAGGACCAGCATCCGTGGGATTACTTTCTTGGCAATGCATGGGCCGACAGGTTCGCTAAATGGGGCGCTTGCTGTCGCGATCCGTCTGGGACGCTGGAGTTGTCGCTCGAGTCCGCCCTAAGTGATGCTAAGATGCAGGCCCGAATGATGCCTTGGGCGGCGTGCAAGATGGCGTATCGGGACGCCCTTACTGAGCGGCCAGGTAGATTAGTGAGGGCCCTGCCCCCGTTAGGCCCATAGGCGTCACGGCCCACGAAATGGTTGCGCGTGAGCCCGGTGTTTTCCAATGTAAATCATGTCTTGGGGCGGCTAGGACCGCGGCGAGTCTTAGCAGAATCCTCGGGGCCCCCTGCGCGCCCACGGCGCAGCAGAGGCTCAGAGCGCGAATGACGCCTGAGCTGCAGCGCGCGCCTCCGATACAGTCGGAGGCGGTGCGTGTGGCCCTAGAGGCGTCTGGTAGGGAAGAAGCTGGAGGTTCCGCCGACGCGAATCAGTCAGTGCCGCCCGATGAAGTTATCGTCGAGCTCAACGGGCACCAGGTGTTGGTGACCCGTCGGCGCATGGTCTGCACCCTCTGCGGCTCCTATCAAGTGTCTTCGGGGGGCGCAACTGATTGTAAGCTTGGTTCGGCGGCCTGCGTGGGCCCATCTCAGCACGGGCCTACCCGATCCAGGCAGAAATATATCATCTCAGCCATTAGGGCTGGGAAGGACCCTAAAACAGGGTCCTGACCTAATTTTCTCATGGGTGGGCCCGTGCTCCTGTCAGTCGGTTGCACGACTGGTCGGCCGCGCCTCCCCCCACTCCTTTCGACTCTTCCGCCGTTCCGCCTCGCCTCCCCGCCTTCTGTTTCCACGCCGTTCCATCGCATTCTCCAGCCCCGCAGACCCACCGACCGTAGTTCCCGCCACATTTCATCCCGATGTTATGCTCATCGCCGCTTCGTCTTGGAAGGTGAGGAGGAGGTGGAGGAGGAAGGGTGAGGTGAGGTGAGGGAGGCATAGGGGTGTGAGGCTCACGTGTTTGGTCCGAGGGCGACCCGGCTCCTCCCTCTGCTCCTCTGCCTTGATTTTCCTTCTCCCATTGCTCGTTCTTGTCGTCGGTGCCCTCCTCCTCCTCCTACTACTACTCCTCCTACTCCTCCTTGTCGTCGTCCTCCTTCGCTTCTTTCTCCTTCTCCTCCGCCTCATCGTCTTTCCCCGCCTCAGCCTCCCTCGCCCCCTCCACCCTCTTTGACCCTACCCAAACCCCCCTGTCCTCCCCCTCCCCTGCTTCCCCCTCCACCCAATTTTCCCCTGCCTCCCCATCCACCTTTGAGGATTCAAAGCGGGATCCCAGGGGGGTGGGATTGCGAGGGTCCTTGGGGCTTGCAACTTCAAACGTTGAGTCATGGGAGGCCTCTTCCTCCTCCCTTCCGCCCCTTCCTCTCCTTTCCTTTTCTCTTCCCATATGTTCCCCGTTATCTTCCTTAGTTGTTTCCGCCCACCCCTTTTCCTGTTATCTTCCGCTTCGTGGTGTTGTTTCCTTTTCCTGTCCTCTTATCCTCTTCACCCTTCTCCCTCCCCCTCTTCTGCCTCTTTCGCCATTGCCCGCCTTTCTGGCCAGCCACCTCCACCTCTTTTACCATGTTCTCTTCTCTTGTCCCCCTCCTCCGCCCTCTTTTCCTGTTTCTCTTTCGCCTACTCCTCCTCCTCCTCCTCCTCCTCCTCTTCTTGGCTCTTTCTCCCTCGCACAGAGGTGACCCTTGACTTGCTCGTGCAGCTTGTGCGCAAGAACTGGCGGGCCGTACGCTTCTTCCCGCAGAGCAGGCTGGAGAAGGAGTGCCGCGAGGCCACGAGGGGGGAGAGGGGGGGAAGGTGACAAGGACGCGGGGAGGGGACAGGCCTGGGGGGGATGCGTCGGCCCCCAATCGCCCATCCATCGCCGATGGGACCCGGTATCCCGCCCCGTCCAGGAACGTGCGGTTTCGCTGTCGGGGCCTGTTCCCCGATCTATCGGCGATGCATCGCCAATTCCAGCTCGACGTGCCCCCTCCTGAGCCGGTCTTTGCTTCTGGCCAAAGGCTCCCCTCAACGAGGGCGCAGGATCTCCTATATCGCCACTGGCATCGAATGCCAAGATCCTTAACATATTTTCTCTGCCGGGTTGCTTGGCGCTGCTCTACACAAGCTAACCCATTTCTTTTTGGCCTTACGCTTGCCCTTTGTTTATAATTCTATACCCACATGTACTTTTACGATGAACTGTCTGTTTGCCAGCGGCACGTTGCGGCGCGTTGCGGTCCGGACGCACGTCCAAGATGCTTCCCAGAAACGGCCCATCACGTAAGCAGTGGTTAATTTGAGCGACATCCTCCCCCTCCGGCAGCACCCACCCATTTTTGAAGCGTGCGTGCGGTAGTATGTGATGAGGTTGCCGGCCTCGTGCTGCACGACCGTGCTAGCACTTTCAATGCCAGATGCCCGGCAGTATTAGAGCAGCAGTTCTCTGTTCAGACGATTGCGACGTCTTGGCCAAGGGTTACGGTCAAAATGCACTCCCACAATTTTCTCGTCGCCTAGCGCCTGTTGATACAGCCGGGTGTTGAAATCTCCAACCGCGATCGTTGCGTTATGGGTTCCATGACTCGGCCATGCCGCAATCTGATCGTGGAGCCATGTTTGCCTTGTTTCGTACTTGTATCCGGCGTGCGGCGCGCAACACGTCAATAGATTGAGGATCCCACCAGCAGTGCTGAGTCTCACGCGTGCCAGTCTATCTGAAACAACCTGAATCAGACGACAGCGTCAACCGCCCACGGGACAACCAACAGTCAAATTTCAGAGAAACAGCGCCCAGTAGTAATCTTGAATCAGATGGTAAGCATGATAAGTGAGATGCAGAAACACTATTGCAGTATGTGGTTGACGATCTATTCCAAGATGCATGCGCTTCAATGCCATTGGAAGTATTCGTAAAGTCTTCTGGATGACCATCAAAACCAAAATCAACATGCTGAGAACCGATCGAGGAGCGCAGCCGGCAGTGGCCAGAAAAACCCAGCATGTAAAGTTGCACTTATTGTAGTCCATGTTGTGGTACCTGTAATGGTACTTGTTGCGTGCAGGTTTATTGAAGAAGAGCCGACTTCGGGCGCCCATACTCTGGACATGCAGTCGACGTTGGTTGACCGATAGTTCAGATAAGCAGTATTGCAGACTGCGGGTGGATTGGCCGTGAGCTGCGAGTCAATGGTGATCGGGACCTCGCCCACCTCCTTTGGCGCTATACCCTTGGAGCCATTCGTGGTTTTCGTCCCCTTCATGCCGGCTGACGCACGGGCCAGCAGGTTGTTGCATGTGCCCCCCAGCTCTTTGACGGCAGCGTGGCTGAGCAGTTCCGTCCACGTAGGAGAGTGTATTCTTGTTGTTTGGGGCATGACGGGCGTCATGGCTCACGACCTCCCCCTCATGACGTAACGCCCCCCCCCCCCCCCGTGCGTTCCGGGCACTGCCGCCGTGCGCATCGGGATCCGCAAAGGTATCCGCATAGGAATCCGCATAGGAGTCTCGTCCGCAGTCGTCGTCGTCGACGTTGTCGTCGTCGTCGTCGCTCGTCGCTCGTCGCTCGTCGCTCGTCGCTCGTCGCTCATCGTCGTCGTGCGCGCGGACGCGGCTGGAGCCTGTTTTCTATTATTCCGGGCCGATGACGGCAATCATTTAGGGGGGTGGTGGTGGAGTGGACCGATGACGTCACGTTTCGCGCCGACGAAGTCTGGGAATGCCCGGGAATGACCGAGGACAGGTAGCAGCAGCATGTAGGTGGTTATCTGCAACACAGCGCTTGTGTACACCGCAGTGCCTGCTTACATCACAGCGCCTTCTTACACCATAGCAGCCGCGTGCAACACAGCGCCAGTGTGTGCCAAAGTTCCTCTGGGCACCACAGCGCTCGCGTACACCGCAGCGCCTGCGTACACCACATCAGCCGTGTGCAACACAGCACCAGTGAACACCACATTGCTTACGTGCACTACACCGCCTGCGTTTACTACGGCGCCTGTGTGCACCACAACAACCGTGTGCAACAGAACACCATTGTTGCATATGGAATGTTGGAAGGGGTGTTTATGACAGAATAGAACGCCTGTGGACTGTTTCAAAAAAGCTGTTTGTATATAGGAGTTGGAACCGAATCCTTATGGAAAACAAAGCGCCCCTGGAATCTACGATTCCCCCCCGTGTCTGGCCGCATCATCCTAACTCCCCCCTTTGCGTCCATGATGCTCCAGCAAAATCGGTCGTCCGAGAACCAACTGGATTGATTCAATCGAGTATTCTGCGGTGCGCGCTGAGATGCGCACTTGCGCTGTAGTGCCGACCCGCACGACAGGGGGATGGGTGAGGGAAGAGGGGGATGTGGAGGAGGAGGAGGTGGAGGAGAAGGAGGAGGGAAAAACGTCGCATCACACTATCAACATTTCCCAAGCGTGGGTTTTTTGCTGTCCGCAGAAGATCCTCACCTTTATGCTTCTTCTACTTGTCCTGTGCATGCAGGCGCTGCGGAGTACACCAGCGCTGCGTTGCACGCGGATGCAGTGGTGTAGACAGGCGCGGTGGTGTGCACAAGCGCTGCTGTGCACGCAAGCATCGTCGTGTACACAGGCATTGTGTTGCACATGGTTGCTGCGGTGTACGCATTCGCTGTGGTGTACACATGGCGGTGTGGTGCATGCAAGCACTGTGGTGTACACAAGCGCTGCGTTGCACACGGCTGTTGCGGTGTACGCATGTGCTGTGGTGTACGCGCCCGGTGTGGTGCTCGCGAGCACGGTGGTGTACACGGGCGCTGTGGGGCAGATCGCCACCTACATTCTGCTCGCGTCGTCGTCGTTGTCGTCGTCGTCGTTCGTCGCTCATCGTCGTCATGCGTGCGGGCGCGGCTGTGGTGCCGGAGCCGCACGGCGGGGGGGGGCGCTACATCATCCCCCCCCCCCGACCCCCGCTCCGACGTGACGCCTGGCATCGCCCAGTAGTATCAAACGCTCTCTAGCCCATTCCCCCTGCCACTTGTGGAAAGCGCCGTCTGACGACGCATGGACTGTCAGAGCATGTTCTCCGCCTACTGTCACGATGTATGGTGCCTCCTCCGTGATGGAGATGATGTGGGGGTCATTCCACTCCGTCTTGAGGAAGCGCTTGAATCCGAAGCAACAGGTCTTGGCAGCGCGATCAGATGGGAGTCGATCTTGGCTAGCCCAAACACACTTCTGCCTACCGTGAAAGATCGCGCGTCGAAGTAGCTTGACAGCAAGATCCCGCACAGCGGAAGATACGACTCCGCGAAGATGTTCCCGTGACATCGCCCCTGCTGTAGACCTTCATTGGCGATGGGCCGCCCAAAGTCTGCATCGTGTCGCTCCACTGTATCTCGTCCTCCAAGGTGGTTAGCGCGTCCAAATTCCCCATGACCGCAATTGAGGCCTGCCTGTCCGTGTACAACCCCGCTGGGGCGCTGGAGCCGTCGAGCTAGGTTGGGAAGGAGCCTCCTGCAAACTTTGCTGAGCACATTCGCGGATCCTCCTTCAGAATTTGTCATCATCCATGTTTGGGTGTTCTTGCAAGTCTTCATACATCGATTCTAGTGTTCCCACTCGCGTCGGTTACGGTGATGCGCTTCTCCAGAGATTCGAGGCGCTCGAACAGCGCGGTGCTCAGGTCCTCCCTCGCAATCGCCCTATCCACCCCTTTTCCCCTCGTCGCCACATGCATCCCTCTTCCCCCCCTCCCATTCCTCCTTCGCTTCCCACCTCCCCCCTGCCCCCCTCCCCCTGATCCTTTCGTCCTTATGTTTTGTCTCTCGTCATCTCCGCCTCCTTGTCCTTTTTCTGCCTCCGCGTCCTTCCTCTCGTCGTCGTCGTCGTCCTCCTCATCATCATCACCATCATCATTGTCATCATCATCATCATCATCATTACCATTATTGCCATCCTCATTATCATCATTGGTGTCATCTTACGCAGGCCATTAGGGCCCAGCAGTTTGCTAGGCGTGAGGGTGCACAAACGCCCAGAGATGGACCCCAAGACCAGCAGCAAACAGCAGCTTTCTCACATTTAGTTGCGAAACAGGTTTCGGTGCCTCGCTGCCCTCTCTCTTGTTCGGGGTCGGACACAGTGAACTTCAGCGAGATGCCGCCAAACGATCCGTCAAATGGCTCTACGAGACCCGCCTTCGGAGGTTCTCGCAAGTCATGGAGTCGATAGGGGAGCAGCGCCACGTGGCGCCGCAGAGAGGGGCCGCAGCCAGAACGACCCCCGCGAGAAAGACGAAGAGCAAGGACAATTCCGCTAACTAGGGACAGTACAACACCAGCGTGGACCAATGCCATCGCCAACCTCGTGAGCACCATGCAGGACCAACAAAGACAGATGATCACGCAGCAAGCAGAGCAGCAGCAGCAGACGATGTCGCTGATGGCTACGCTCGCCGGCATGCAGCAGCAGGCAATGATGCACCAGCCGCCAGGCGCATCGCCTACAGCGCCTGAGCCCCAGGTGCAGCCTCCACAGGCCGCCCCAACTCCTTCGCCTACAAGAAGACTGCAGAAGATCCCAGAAAAGATCTCTAAAGAGCTCGAGAAGAAAGCTGACAAGTTCGAGAAACTAGTGATGAAAATGGCGACGACTCGACTTGCTGCTAAAAATGCTCGATGCAATTTTGAGGCGTTCAAGAGCAAGGATAACAGGACATACCCACCGGGCATGAGGGCTTTCAAAACGGCTGCCGCGCAGTCGGAGCTAGATGAGCCACTTTCCGCCTGCACAGGGGGTGATCAGACGATCGCGATCGTTCTTAAGCAAGGCAGCGCACGGCGCGAAGCGACGAAGGTGTTGCACCACGAATGCAATTCTTTACGCTTCGCGTATCCCCACCATCCCATCTCTCAACAGCAACTCTTGCGAAGCGTGCCGACAGTCGTGTTTTTCAGGCGTGTTTCCGCCTGCCCCCGCATATCTCCCCTGTTACTCCTTCCTCCCGCCTCCTTGTACATCCTCCTTGTGGGGGGAGCGGGAGAAGGACGAGGCGGAGGAGGAGGGAGAGAAAGCGCGCCTCGTGGTGTGAGTCGTTCGGGCTCTTCGTCCTGGTGTGAGTCGTTCGGGCTTCTCGTGGTGTGAGTTGTTCGGGCCCCTCGTCCTGGTGTGAGTCGTTCGGGGGCTCCTGGTGTGAGTCGTTCGGGCTCCTCGTGGTGTGATCGTTCGGGCCCTCGTCGTGGTGTGAGTCGTTGGCTTGTATGAGCGCTGCCCCTCCTCCTGGTGTGACTCGTTCGGGCTCCTCGTGGTGTGAGTCGTTCGAGGCCCGCGTCGTGGTGTGAGTCGTTCGGGCTCCTCGTGGTGTGAGTCGTTCGGGCGCCTCGTCCTGGTGTAAGTCGTTCGGGAACCTCCTTGTGGTGTGAGTCGTTCGGGCTCTTCGTGGTGTGAGTCGTTCGGGCCCCTCGCCCTGGTGTGAGTCGTTCGGGCTCCTCGTGGGGCCTCTTGGGGGCCTCTTGGAGCCTCTTGGGGCCTCTTGGGGGCCTCTTGGGGGCCTCTTGGGGACCTCTTGGGGGCCTCTTGGGGGCTCTCGGGGCCTCGTGGGGGCCTCTTGGGAGCCTGTTGGGGGCCTCTGGGGGCCTCTTGGGGGCCTCTTGGGGGCCTCTTGGGGGCCTCTTGAGCCACTCTCCGCCTGCACAGGGGGTGATCAGACGATCGCGATCGTTCTTAAGCAAGGCAGCGCACGGCGCGAAGCGACGAAGGTGTTGCACCACGAATGCAATTTCTTGAAGATGTGCATGTCCGAGGACCTCGACGAGATGTTGGGGGATCTCAGAAACGTAACCACACAGCAGAAATTCCACGAGGCTCTTCAGCAAACCATCGCGGAATGCACAAGCGACAAGGCTTCGGAGCTCGGCTTGGACAAAGTAGATTTCTTCACAATCGACCCCGAGGCTATAGACGCCATGTGCGAGAAGCTATGGGCAAAGATCGTAGACAATGAAACAATAAGGAACAAGCATAGAAAGGCAAGCGAGGAGAAGGAGGCACGGAGGCGGAAGGAGCTAGACGAGAAGCAGCCAAAGCCAAATCCGAAGAGATGTTTGACAAGCTGTTGGCTATGAAAATGAAGGCCCAGTTGCAGGAGCTGGGCGCCATCCCCGTCCAGGCCGAGGACGTGGACTTTGATGGCTCCACCCCGCAGCCACAGCCGCCCAGGTTTTGCGAGACGGGCGATTCGGTCGCCAAGGAACGTGCCAAAGCAAGAAACGACAAATTCCCAGGGCCAGCCCTGGGGCTAACGCCAAGCTCAAAGCTGTGCCGAAGCCTCCAGTCAATGGCATCAGGGACCCAAAAAGGGAAATCCAGAGGAACACCCAAGGGCACAAAGGGTGGCAAGTCTGGCCAAGACACAGGCAAGGGCAAAGACAAAGACAGAAGCAAAGGCAAGGGCAACGGCAATACCTACACCAGCAATTGGGAACCCAAGGGCAAAGGAGGCACGAAAGGCGGACATCACGGAAGCAACGGAGGAAATAAAGGTTTCTCACCATCTGCGTAGCAGAACACCGGCGCCGTGCACAGGGGCGCCGAGATACGGTTGAAGCACGATGGTTGGTTTCACACATGCCAGGGGCTACCGCGGTGGATTGGTTATTTTTACTTAGGTATGGTTATACACCATCATGCATTTACCAATCTGTACATCGTCATCGTATCCTGGTCGAGCCAGTTATTCCGTGGTTCGGCAAGTGGTTTATCACGCATGTTTACCCCAAGCACGCTTTTTTGGGAAAGGCCTTGCCCAAGCTCGGGCGCATCACCGATGACCTCGACAGCTTTTGTAATGCATTCAAGTGCCGAGTATGTTTGGGGCAGGGGCCTGATAGGCTTCTCAGCTACCGTCCCAAACGTCGGAGGACGCCCGCATGCACGAACATCGTCGATCCTGGCATCAGCTTCTGGCGGAAGTCTGCAAAGCCAGGGTGCTGGGAGCATGCGAGAAGCAGCTCAGGCGAGTCGGGGGGCACAGCAGATCTGGCGACATGTTCCTGTTAGTTCGCCGAGCCGCTCGTTGGTTCAAGGCGTTCAGCTACACGACGCATCGAAAATGTCAATGAGGCTGGATACAGTTCGAGGACGATCGAGGATGATAGAGCCATCGACGCCTATATTCTCGACGACCCTGAATACGATGAGGTGTCAGAGCCCAACATCGATTTTGACACCGTCGCGAAATCATACTGCAGGCTAGCACATGACATTGGAAAATGGGAAGGTGCACCAATCGCAAAGGACATTCTCAGATCTTGTACCTTTTGCTGGACACGGTATCCGAGCAAATTTTTCCAAGACTTGCAAAACACACAAGCCTCAGGGAGCCGTCGTTTTTCGAAACATTCATGCCGCAGGTCGCTACGCCTTCTGTAGGCGTGCCAAGTGGTTATCAGGCAATGTTCAACGTAGTCTTCAAGATTCCCCCCACATCGTGACAGACACGAAAGCAGCAGTAGACAGGCTAAAAATTGAGCGTGGAAACTTCGGACTTGCACAGTGGGCATTCGGGAATTCTGCATGTCCGACTCCATCGACGAGCTAATATTTGATGTTCTTGTTTGGTTCAGAGATCCCATTCTGAGGGGTTCGATCGAGAGGACTCTTTGGATTCTTCTTGGGAGCCAGCATGTGCAGTCGCCTCGCTATCCTGACAGACTCTGGAAGGTGATCCGGGGCTCGGGGATGGGCCTCCCTCGCAGCGGGGAGGTCGCCGATCCCGCGCTCTTGACCGGGGTGGAAAGATGGTCGCTGACGCACACGAACGTGCGCGACCTCAGCGCATGCCTCAGATTCCGCGGCGACATCACTACGATTGGCAGGCATGGTCATTCTCCTGGACTCTTCGTGAGAGGCCTCAGATGCCGTTATGGTGATTTCGTGTTCGAAGTCGGTAAATTCGGCAGGGAGAGTGTCGGATGGCTCGACATATGCATCAGCATTCGACCCCGTCGTTTGGAAGTGCGGGCAACATTCGAATCCATGACCCTCTCAGTCTCCCTTCTGCGGTCGAGTGCACACCCCACGCACGTTAATCTGTCATGGCCGAGGGCTCGACTACAGTATCTGGAACAATTGTGTTCGTCTCCCTTTTTGTTTCCAGCCGCAAAAAAAACGAATTCATACATAGATTCTCGATGTCACGCACTCGAGACCAGGTGGGGCGGGTCACTGCAGAGCCTGCGTGCGTTAGGGCAGCGCCACGAGCCTCGCAGAGACGAAGCTTAGGGGCCACCTGGTGCAAGCTTCCTTTCCATCCTACGTTGGACGACGCAATGCGGAAAGCTATTGCGTTCTTCTTCCAGGACGAAAGTTTTCGAAGGGCGGGTGCCGCAAAGCAGGGTCTCGTATTACAGATGTTTACCGACACTGGCGCACATGTTCGCCAATGCGTGCGAAGCTAGGCTTGGGTAGGTGGGTGGGATCTCATTGTTGTCATCTTCCGCCAGCCAGTTGGGGCCCGGAGTTTGCTAGGCGTGAGGGTGCACAAACGCCCAGAGTTTGATCCCAAGACCAGAAGCAAACAACAGCTTTCCCTCACGTAGTTGCGAACAAGTGTTCGGTGCCTCGCTGCCCTCTCTCTTGTTCGGGGCCCAACTACTGGCGGCGACGAGGCAGCGACTGTGTTGCGATGGCGGCAACATTAGCTGCCAGACCGCCAGACAGGCCCAGCTCGTAGAAGTGAGATGGACCCCCCTGAGTACAAGCATTGTTTTGGGAATGTATACACATGTGTTCTCTTTCTGTGTCTCCCTCTCTCTCTCTATTTCTCTCTGTCCGTCTTCGCTATCTCTCTTGTTCTCTCTTTTCTCTTCGCTCTCTCTCTCTCTCTTGCTGTCTCTCTCTCTCTCTCTCGTTCTTCTTTATTTGTTGATTAATCTCTCTCTTCCTATTTCTTTCCTTTTAACACCATCCTTCCTGTCTTTCCCTCCTCCCTCTCAATCACCCTCTCCACCCCTTTTCCTTTCGTCGCCACATGCATCCCTCTTCCCCCTCTCCCATTTCTCCTTCGCTTCCCACCTCCCCCATGCCCCCCTCCCCCTGATCCTTTCGTCCTTATGTTTGTCCCTCGTCATCCCCACCTCCTTGTCCTTCTTCCCCCTACGGGTCCTTCCTCTCGTCGTCGTCGTCCTCCTCCTTCTTCTCCTTCTCCCCCCTTGCCCCCATCGCCCTCTTACTCCGGAGGTGATCGTCGCCGCGGTGCAGTCAAGCTGGCGTACCCTCGAGGTCGCCTGGGATGAGGGCCTGATGGCAGGAGGTGAACGAGGAGGAGGACGAGGAGGATGAGGACGAGGAGGGGGAGGACAAGGAGGATCGAGGTTCGACGATCCAGGATTTTGGTGGCCGTTTCCCTTCCTTGAGGGCCTTCGGGGGTGCTTCTCTTCGCTGCGACTGGATCTTGCTCCGAATTCTAGTCAGAACGCACCCCTGGAGGGGTGCGGGGGTCGATTCTAAAGGGAGGGGGAGGAGGAGGCAGAAGAGGAGGAGGAGGAGGAGGAGGAGCAGGAGGAGTAGTTGGAGGAGAAGGAGGATAAGGAGGATAAGGAGGATAAGGAGGTGCATCAGGGTCCCCTCGATGCTTCTTTTCTCCGCGGCTGGATTCCCCTTGAAATCCCAGACACAACGCACACCCGAAAGAGCAGAGTCCATTCTGAAGGGAGGAGGATGCGGAGGAGGAGGATGGAGGAGGAGGAGAGGGGGGGAGGAGGGAGAAGCAGGGAGGATCGAGGAGTGAGGATAGAGTAGAGGAGGGTGAGGAAGAGGAGGAGGAGGACCATGCAATTCAATTACCTTAGCTCATCTTTGCCTACCTCACCGTACCTTACTTGATATGACAGTAACTCGCCTTAAGTTACCGTTCCTTGTCTTGACTTATTTACCTCACCATACTTTGCCGTGCTGTGCGTTGCGTCAATTCACTAACTGCTGACTCAAGTTTACATTATATTGCCTTATCTTACCTGACAGCTCGGCAGACTGCATATACTTCACAGTTGGCCATCCCTTACCTGATAGTACCTTTCCTACTTGGTCTTACCGTACCCGAATGCTACCTCAATTAAGTTGAGTTTCGTTTACCTTACCGTGTTTGACCTTACCTTGCCATATTTGACCGTACCTTTATCTACCCTACCGTATCTTATCTAATATTACCCTGCCCTCCGTTCCCTGGCGTTGCCTTACCTTCCCTTACGTTGCTTTACCTGACCACCTTACCTTACAGCGCCGTTACCTTACAGTGCCTTGCCTCACCGTATCCTTCCTTATCTTACCGTGTCTAAGTTCTCAGTATGCTTCCTTATCATGCCGTGCCTCACTTGTTACTTTGCTGAACCTTCCCCCCTACCTACCCTTGTCTGGGTTGACCTGACCTTGGTTTGATTCCCTTTACCTTTTGCTCACCGTATCTGGCCTTACCTTTCGTTGCCTTGTCTGACCTTCCCTCTTCTGCCCTTATCTCACGTTGGCTTGCCTTGCGTCGGGATGTCCTTCCTTTCCTCACCCTACCTGACCTTACCCTCTGCCTTGCCTTACCGTGCCTCTCCTTGCCCTGGCCTTACCTCGCCTGGCCCTACCTTGCCTTGATCGAGACCACCTATCCTTACCTCCTTCCTCATTCCTGCTTCCCCTCCTTACTCCTCGCGCCTGCTGTCCTCATCACCACCCTCCTCAGCTCTCCGCCCTCGTCGCGGGCCTCGTCCCTCCCTCCCTCCCCTCACCCGCCCTTCCCCCCTCCTCCCGTCCGCCCCCTCCCCTCCGCCGCCCCCTCCCCCCTCCTCCCTCCTCCCTCCCCGTCCCCCCTCCCTTCCGCCCCTCCGCCGTCCTCCCTCCCTCCCCTCCGCCGCCCCTCCTCCCGTCCGCCCCCTCCCCTCCACCGCCCCTCCCCCCTCCTCCTTCACCCCCTTCGGAGCAGGATGACGACGTGTCCCATTGCGCTTGATCACGGGACGCTCGGCTCAGGCCCGGCCCCTGCCTCCTCTCCCCCCCGAGGTCGTCGACGCGGAGCTGCGGCCCAGCCTCTGGAAGGATCGCGAGCTGCTCACGATCGCGGTGCGGCAGGAGCCCCGAGGGCACGCCCCCTCCCCCCCCCGCGGCGAGTGCCAACCCCCGCCGCGGCGTGCTCCTCCTCCTCCTCCTCCTCCTCCTCCTCCTCCTCCCCTCTCCTCCTCCTCCTCCTCCTCCTACCTCCTCCTCCTCCTCCTCCTCCTCCTCCTCCTCCTCCTCCTCCTCCTCCGCCCCACTCAGAAAAGGAAAAGGTACCTGTACCGCTACCCTTCGCCCCTTTTCTCGTTGTTCGGCCTCCTGAGGGGCCTTCGTCGCCACCGCTGGATCCGCTTCGAAGCTCTGGTCAGAACGCACCATGTGCATTTCTTCTCGGCGAGAACCATCGAGGTGCATCCTGGATCATCGAGCAAACAGCAGGCACGAAACCGACAACTGCATAGGGAATGTACGTCCGAGCGACGGCTAGACCCGCGTCCGCGCCTCGAACTTCCACGTCGAGCCAGCGCGGCCGTCGCCGGAGGAAGGGGCCCCGAGGGCCGTCCGTGCTCACGGTTCACGGGGAGGCCCTTCCCGCTCAGGCTTTTTGCCAAAGTTACGGCAGCGTGTGTGTGTGTGTGTGTGTGCTTTTTGCCAAAGTTACGGCAGCGTGTGTGTGTGTGTGTGCTTATTTTGCGTCAGAGGAGGAAAAAGGTACCCGTACCTCTACCCTTCGCCCGTTTTCCCCTTTTTGGGTCTTCTCGGAGGCCCTCGTTGCCACCGCTGGATTCGCCTCGAAATCCTGGTCAGAATGCACACCGGGAGAGGTCCGGGGAGTAGCGGTCTCGATACCTTTTTGTCTCCCCATTGCGGGGCTTCTAGAAGCCCGGATCGGGCGCCAGGTCAAACAGAAGACGGCCTTGGGAGAACAGAACACAGAAATCGGTCTTGGGGACGGCCCTGAGGAGGGCCGAGAGCTCCAGGGGGCTGCTCATCGAACGGATCAAAACGTTGGGTATCTGGGCTTGAGGTTGTGCTTGTTTTGCCGGCGGGAGACTCCCACAGCCTGGCCATACCAATGGTGCTTGCTGATCTTGTCCACGGATGGGTGGCGCAGAGTGTGGGCTCCAGTCGTGGCTTCGCAGCGTTGTGCGGGCCAGAACTCGCCTATCGCGATTGCTGCTGCTTCTATCGCTCTTGCTACTCCCAAGCGGGAAAAGCACACAGACACAAGTTAACGTCGATTCCTGGGAAATGTGGAAAATAGTAGAAGTGGAGGTGAAGACGCACGTCCAGGGAATATGGAATAGAATGGAAATCCCAGGATTAGTGTCTACTTATTTGTGTGTTTCCCTCGGCCCCTTCATGTTCGTGTTGTTGCTCCTCTGCCGCAACGAGCTCCGTGTTTGACTCCGCCGCCGCCTTCCTCCCAATCACTCCTCCCTGCAGTCTTCCAGCGGGAAGGAGGCCGCAGGCAGAAGTGCACAGTGGCAATGTTCCGGCACCGAGGATATCCAGGTGGCCCTCAAGATGGAGGATGTGATGTGGAAGGACAACCAGGTGAGCGACGAAAGAAGTTGGGGTCGTCTTCACCGACGTTGGCGCGCAAGCTGCACGTGTAAGCTCGCGCGTAAGCGCCCTCGTTGTCCATGGTGGCGTGCCGCACTGGCGGCCCGCGTGAGCCGCCGCGTAAGGTAGCGACGTCACCTCGCGTATAGTAGCCACGTCATCTCACTCAGGTGGTGCTCGCAGCCATGTCGACGAACCCGCAGGTGCTCGAACACGCGCCCGAGAGCGTCCAGGAGCACGTCTGGTCCCAGCCGGAAGTCGTGCGGGCCGCGGTCGAGCACGACTGGCGGAACATGGAGAAAGTCGCCGTGGAGCTGTGGAGTGACTTCGACGAGGCTGGCCCGTGTGCTCAAGACCAGCCTCTCTGCTCTCGCGCGGATGACGAGGGCGACGACAAGGACAACGATAACGATGACGATGACGATGACGATGACGATAATGATGACGATGGCGATGATGGTGACGATGACGATGAGGATGCTGATGACGACGATAATGATGACGATGATGATGATGATGATGGCGATGGTGATTATTCTGATGATGATGATGATCCTGGTGGTGGTAATGGTGATAGAGATGACTGTGATGACGACGATGATGACGAGTATGATGCTGTCGATGACGCTGATGAGGATAAGGAGGTCCGCGCGCACAACAGCTGTCAGTTTGTAGGAGCAGCAAAGGGGTCTTCCAGTGTTTTTGGGGTGCCTCTAGTTTGAATCGCGCCGGCGACCAACGCGGTTGCTATCACTGCGCGCGCGCGGACGCGCGCGTGTGGCCCGCATGGTGTGCTTGACGGTTCTGCCAGTGTGCGATGGTTGTTGATCGATTTTTGGGCGTGGGCGCGCGCGCCCGCGCGTCCGGCCCGCAGTGTCCCATTGACACAGTTGGAGACGGCATGCGGTTCCGTGTGAAGTTGGACATTGCAGGTGCGCAGAATTTCTGGCAAGCTGTATTAGCACACCATTTGTCTTCGCATGTGTGTTTGACTGGCCCGATGTTGCAATTGTGAGACACCCTTTGTTTACATAAAAACGTGTTCGGCATGCCCACGCGGAGGAGTGCGCGTGTTGTCCACATGGTATTGTTCGATGGGTTTCGTTGACTATGCGTGAAATTGTGATGTCAGGTCGAGTGCTCCGCGCACGGTGATTTGACATGACTGACGGGGGAGATCGATCAGAGGATCAGGTTTTTTGTGGTGACATGTCATGATGACAAGTATTGCAGAATCAATGCCCAGCGGGTGAGCGTTAAGGCCTTTGGAAGGGGATATTCTGATTACAGGAAGCGGCACAGGTACTTGAATTTTCACATACCTGTACCACGATATATGTATACATCTATATATATACACACATGGATATGTAGATATGTAGTTTCACAAATATGCGTATGGATGTAGATGGGTCTCTATATATAATTATATATACATATGTATGGTCCCCCCAAGCACGCCCCAAATCACCAAAACAACAACGCATTCACTCATCGTGTTGTCCTCCTACCGTGCTCTTCTCGAAAGTGCGCCAGTGGATCTCCCTGAATACACTAAAGGGGGGGGGGGGTCCAGAACCCCCCCCCCCCTTCCTCCTTCAAGGGGGGGGGGGTCCGGACCCCCCCCCCCCCTCCCCCCCTTAGGGGGGGGGGGTCCCGAACCCCCCCCCCCTCCCTTAAAGGGGGGGGGGGGGTCCGGACCCCGCCCCCCCCTGCCCCCCTTGGCGCTCGAAAGGGGGGGGGGTTCGGACCCCTTTCCCCCTCGTGTAGGGAGTACGGAGTTGGGAGTAGGGAGTGGTGAGTAGTGGGTAGTGAGTGGCGAGTAGGGAGTAGGGAGTAGGGGTTGGGCGATAGGGAGTAGTGAACAGTGAGTAATTAGTGTGTACTGATAAGTGAGTAGTGAGTGGCGAGTGGTGAGTTGTGAGTAGTGAGTAGCGAGTAGCGAGTAGTGAGTGCTGATGATGGAGTAGGGAGTGGTGAGTACTGGGTAGTGAGTAGTGGGTGGTGAGTAATGGGTGGCGAGTAGTGGTTAGTGAGTAGTGCGTTGTGGGTGGTGCGTAGTGCGTAGTGAGTAGTGAGTGGTGAGTAGTGAGTAGTGAGTAGTGAGTAGTGAGTAGCGAGTAGTAAGTAGTGAGTAGTGAATAGTGAGTAGTGGGTAGTGAGTTCTGAGTAGTACGTAGTGCGTAGTGTGTAGTGAGTAGTGATGAGTAGTGAATAGAAAGTAGTGGGTAGTGGCAGTGGGTAGTGAGTAGTGAGTAGCGAGTAGTGAGTAGTGAGTAGTGAGTAGAGTGTAGTCAGTAGTGAGTATCGGGTAGTGATTAGTGAGTAACGAGTAGGGAGTAGCGAGTAGTGAGTAATGAGTGCTGAGTAGGGAGTAGGGAGTAGTGAGGTGTGAGTAGTAAGAAGTGGGTAGCGAATAGTGGGTAGTGAGTAGCAATTGGTGAGTAGTGGGTAGTGAGTAGTGACTAGTGACTAGTGACTAGTGAGTTGTGGCTAGTGACTAGAGGCTATGTAGTGACTAGTGAGTAGGGAGTAGTAAGTAGTGAGTCGTGAATAGTTAGTAGCGTGGAGTAAGTAGTGAGTATTGAGTAGCGAGTATGGGGGTAGCGAGTAGCGAGTACTTAGTACGGTGTAGTCAGTATTGTGTAGGGAGTAGCGAGTAGCGAGTAGTGGGTAGTGAGTAGTGATTTGTGGGCAATGATTCGTTAGTAGTGAGTAGTGAGTAGTGGATAGTGGGTAGTGGGTAGTGAGTAGTGATTATTGAGTAGTGAATACGGAGTAGTGAGTAGTGGTTAGTGAGTAGTGAGTATTGAGTAGTGGGTAGTGAGGAGTGAATAGTGAGTAGGGAGGAGGGAGCAGTGAGTAGCGAGTAGTGGGTGGTGGGTAGTCAGTAGTGGATAGTGAGTAGTGAGTCGTGAGTAGCGAATAGCGAGTAGTGAGTAGGGGGTAGTGAGTAGGGGGCTGGGGTTAGTGGTTAGGGGGCCCCTCGTGACTCCCTTTGGGGCTGGGGTTAGTGGTTAGGGTTCGGATTCGGGGCTTGGGTTCGGGTGAGGACTAGGGGGAGGGTTGGCGGGGGTCGGGTTCTGGCGTCAGGGGGCGGCGTGGCGAAAGGGGGGGGGGTCGGACCCACCCCCCCCTTTTGAAAAGGGGGGAGGGGGTCCCCGACGACGGGTCGTGGAAAGGGGAGGAGGGGGGGGGGTCCCCGACGACGGATCGGGGAAGGGGGGGAATGGGAGAGGGGGGTGGGGCCCGACGACGGATCGGGAAAGAGGGGGAGGGGGGGGGTCCTAACCCCCCCCCTTTGGGGAGATCCAGCGGCGCACCCTCGCTCTTCTCCTCCCCATTTTTCTCCTCTTACCCCCCCTCGCCCTGGACTCCGCATCACCTCTTCTCCTCCACCGTCTCCTCTGCCGCCTTGTCCTCCTCCTCGTGTTCCTCCTCCTCCTCTTCCTCCACATCCCCTCTTTGTTTCCACAGACAATGTGCCAGGCAGAGAAACCGCTGGAAACACGGATGACGCATAGAATTTGGCTGGCATTGGTAAGGGGGCCACGTGAGAGCACAGATGCAACACTACCAACTAGCGGTTTTGACAAGGCAGCCCGTTGGAAACATGGATAACATATGTAATGCAAGGTTTGGGGGCGAACGGCGGACGACAGGGAGTTTAGGGGGAGCATGAGAATGATATTCCTTACCCTCCACAGGCAGCGCTCCAGGCAAGAATTCCGCTGACCATAAAGATACCGCATATACTGTTGATGGTGATGGCGAGGCAGCAATATGAAATCACACCTGGAACACACATGTGTAAAGGTGTTGGCCCGAAACCCTTTGTGAGCATGCAGGTAGTACAGTTCATGCAAGGTTTTCGGGAAGAAATGCCAGCCACAGGGAGGTTGGGGTGCAGGAGGATGGTGCTCTTCCTCCCTCCACAGACAACGTGCCAGGCAGGAAGTCTGTGAGCACGCGTATAAAGCATACAAGTGCGATGGTGTTGGTAATGGAGCCTTCTTAACACACACACACACTTTAAACATATGATCCGACTTGTCTGGGCAAGGATGCCGTGTGCAAACACATACACAACATATATGCCAAGGTTCACTTTGGAAAGGGCGTCAATCCTCCTGCTCCGCCACCGTCCCTCTGCCTCGGCATTATCCCAACAACTTGCCACGGCCATGAAGAGTAGCTGTTCCATATGTGTGTTCACACAGCTCCTTTGCCAAGGCCGTCCAACTTACATGTCTCATCTGTACTGTTACATGTTTCCTTGCCTGGCACGGCGTCTGTGTAGAGAGGAAACGCATAATTCTGTTGTTGCCCAAACCTACCTGCGGCTTGCATTTTCCCGAACACCTGAACTATGTGTTTTATCTGTGCGTTCAACGGGCTCCCTTGCCCATGCCATCAAGTCTAGGTGTTTTACATGCATGTTCACAGGGATTCCTTAACGAACACCGTTGATCATACATGGTCCATGCGTGTTTTCGGAGGGCTCCCTTACCACAACAAGTTCGGCATGTTTGATCTCTGTGTTCAAAAAGGTGATTTGCCTGGTACGCTGCGTTTGGAGCGAGGAGAGCGCGCCACTGACTTAGCCACGACTTCGGTGGCAAATCATGGGGGCCTTGCATGCCCTCGTAGCTCCGTCTTTAGCGTCGACTGGCGTAGATCTGCGTCAGGTAATCGGTGGGGTAGCGCCGATGTAGGGTCGGTTAGCGTCGATTCGCGTCGAGCCAGCGTCGAGTATTGTCGACTGGCGTCGACCAGCGTCGATTCGCACGATCCAGCAAGACGGTGTGGGAGGTTCCCCACGAGTTGCCACATCACAAGACTTACTCGACTCGATGCACGGGTGCCTCCCGACGGGCCCCGCAGGGCCATCGGGGCCCGCCGGGAGGCGGTCGCCGCTGCGCGCGGCCGCTGCAGTGCCCTACCCCCTCGCCGCGCAGGGGAACCAGTGGCCTACCCCCTCGCCGCGCAGGGGAAATACAGCGGCCCACCCCGTCGCCTGCAGCCTATTCCCTCGCCCCGCAGGGGAGTGGAAACAAAACGTGGCCTACCCCCTCGCCGCGCAGGGGAATAGTGACAAACGTGGCCTACCCCCTCGCCACGCAGGCGATCCAGTGGCACACACCCTCGCCACGCGGGGGGCTCCCAGGTAAACTCCAGTCTTTGGATGCCGCTGGTCCATGGCCAACTTGATCGCTGCTGTCTGAGTTTCCCTCAGTTTTGCCTCCTCGGACTGGCTGGGGCACTCCTCCTTGAGGCCGCGCACCCGAACTTTGCACCCTTCTTGCAGATCGTGATCGGGCCGAAGACCACAGGCGCGTGCTCTTTGGGAGCCTCTTGCATGCCCTGTGGCGCCATCTATCTGGGAGCTCTCCTGGGGCCCTGTGGAGCCTTTCGGGGCCTGCTGGGGCTCTCTCAACGCTGCTTTGGAGGCAGTGCGTCAACAAAAAGAATGGGGCTCCAATAACCCAGGGCACAGTTTAGACACATCGCCTCTTGGAGCCCTGTTCGGGCTGTTTTGGGGTACTCTAGGGGCGAGCTCCGCTGGTGCCTTCCTGCACCCCTCTTCGGGCCATGAGTGGCCATCGGGAGGACCTTGATGTTTCAGGGACCCATTGTGAACGAATGCACGGGATGGCACGCATGAGAGAACAGCTTCAGGTTCTAACCTCTCGCGGGGGGCGGCTGGGACGTCCAGACCCCCAGACAGAGGGCAAGGTGAACATGGTTCTGGAAGAGCTGCTCCGCTGAACCGCCTACGCCCAGAAGTATGGTGGGATTGTGCTCATCGTGCGACTCCGTGGGCCGTCTGATTGTTGTCTGTCTGATCGACGGGTGTTCATCCTCGATTATTGACGGGGCCCCACGCTGCGGCCGTCGGCAGTTTGAAGCACACCGCCCCAGGTCAAGCCGTTGGTGCTGGCGGCCGTGCGCCAGAACTGGCTGGTTCCCGGGGGGGAGTCAACCCTTGAATAGCCTCGTCTCTTCGGCCAGTTTTGCTCGTCCCGCCGCTTCCCGTCCCAGCTTGCCTGCGTCGAGCCTATTTCTGGTTCGCCCCAAGACGATGACGGGACGGAGGGCGACGAGGAGGAATTTGAGGAGGAGAAGCAAAGGATGGGGATGTTGATGATGATGATGAGGAGGAGGAGGAGGAGGAGAAGGAAGCGGAGTAGGAGGAGGAGGAGGAGGG